TGAATACCAGTAGTACCGCGCAAGGTGGTGGCGGAAGTTTCAGAAATAGGAAACCTATAGGAGAGGTTGTTGTTGTGACTCACGGATGGCAGAGCGAATCCACTGATGGACCGAAAGGTGGTTGGAGTTGTGTTTTTTGGAGTGGCTGCAATGTGTAGCTGTAGATGCAGTTGCAGCTGCGGTTGTAGTTGTAGTGTAATGCAATGCAATCAGTGTAGTGTAGTGTTGTGAAATGTAGTGTGGTTGTAGTTGTAGTTGTGTTTGTAATTGTAGTTTGCTGCAGCGTAATTAGTGTAGTGTAGTTGTACTTGTAGTTGTAGTTGTGGTTGTAGTAGTTGTGGTAGTTGTTAGTGTAATTGGTGTAATGTGTAGTGAGATTAGATGTAATTAGTGTAGTGTAATTAGTGTAATTAGTGTAGTGTAATGTAGCGTAGTATATTTGCATTTGTAGTTGTAGCAGTAGTGTAGTGTAGTGGCAGTTGCTGTTGTAGTTGTAATTGCCTGTTTCTATCTATCTATCTATCTACCTATCTATCTATCTATCTATCTATCTATCTATCTATCTATCTATCTATCTATCTATCTATCTATCTATCTATCTATCTATCTATCTATCTATCTATCTATCTATCTATCTTATCTATCTATCTAATCTATCTAATCTATCTATCTATCTATCTACCTATCTATCTATCTATCTATCTATCGATCTATCTATCTATCTATCTATCTATCTAATCTATCTAATCTATCTAATCTATCTAATCTATCTATCTATCTGTCTATCTGCAAGCTTGAAAATGCAGCTATTTTGCGAGACTTCCTCAATGTTTCAACTTGACAACATCAAACACGAAACAAGTCTGCGAGACGTCCTCAACTTTTGAACTTGACATCAAAAACGAAACAAGTCTGCGAGACTTCCTCAAGCTTCGAAGTTGACAACATCAAAAACGAAACAATTCATTCTGCGAGACTTCTTTCAAAAATGGAAAGTTGAATGCAGAGCTGACGGACTCGTACCAATGCGTTTTGCAATCTTTTCACTCCACCTGTCTAAAGTACTGCGCCTGCCACGAAAAAAGTGATGCCAGGTCATACGAAGTGCTACACCTGGCATGCAAAATCATCTCAGCAAAACTGAAGATCTGATGCTCCAAACCCTTCTCAAGAAATCAGCGCTCGGACCTCCTGACAGCTCTGATGATCATGTCTCTTGTATTGCGCCTGCCACGGAAAATGCATCTTTGCAGATCATGATCCTCTTCAAATGTCCCACGCCTGCCATCGTTTTTGGAAATGCTACGAAAACCCTCACGTTTTGCTCACTTTTGACAAGGTGCACAATCCCTTGCACCTGCCACACAAAACGACGCTTCAACATCCAAAAGTGGCGCCTACATGTCGTGTTTTGTAGATTTTGGCTTCGAAATGTGCTTCGCACCACGACGGCGTACACTTTTTGAACATCTTGACTACCAAAAGTGCTCCGAATCATTTTTTTTACACTTTTGGCTTCGAAATGTGCTTCCAGCCGCAACAGCGTGCACCTTTTCGACATCGCAGCTTCTAAAAGTGCTCCGAGGCTGGGGTGTTTTATGCATTTTGATTCGGAAATGTGCTTCGCGCCACAACGGCGTGCGATTTTTCATCTCTCGTTTGGCCAGCTGGCTCCGCACCCGCCGCTTTAGCGAGCCTCTACTTTTCGACCCTGCGGAGCCACAAACCATTGGAAAAACACAGCTTTTCGCGACTTTCCTACCTTTTCGCGCACGTCCATCTTCTATCTTCTGAGACTTTCTCTTTTTGATCTTCTTTCTTCTTCTCTTCTCTTCTCTTCTCTGACTCTTCCCATCTCTGCTTTTCATCTGTCCATATTGTCGGAAGTTTGACTTCTAAACTTCCTTCGATTATTACTATTTCTTCTACTATTACTATTAAATAGATTCCTACTACTACCATTACTACTTCTCCTATTACTATTATTTCTGCTCTTGGCACTCCTGGTACTACTACTACTACTCCTCCACTACTGCTGGCACTACTACTGCTGCTACTATTACCCTTACTTCTGCTACTACTTCTACTTCTCCTTCTACTTCTACGATCACTGATGCTATTACTTTTACTACCTCCACCACTACTACTACTACTACTTCTACTACTACTACCACCACTACTGCTACTGTTGCTACAACAGCAACTACTACTAGTACTGCATTAGTAGGACTACTACTGCTACTACTGCTACTGCTACTACTACTACTACTCCTACTACTACTACTACTTCTTCTACTTCTACTTCTACTTCTACTACTTCTACTACTTCTACTACTTCTACTACCACTACTACTCCTACTAATACCACTACTACTACTGCTGCTGCTACTACTTCTACTGCTACAACAACAACAACAACTACTACTACTTCTAGTACTACTTCTACTACTACTTTTACTACTATTACTACTACTTTTACTACTTTTACTACTACTACTTCTACTACTACTACTACTACTACTGCTCCTGCTGCTGCTGCTGCTGCTACTGCTACTGCTACTGCTACTGCTACTACTACTACTACTGCTGCTGCCACTACTACTATTATTACTACTCCTGCTACTCCTGCTACTCTACTCCTGCTACTCTTGCTACTACTACTGCTACCTCTACTGCTACCACCACTACTACTATTACTACTACTGCTACTACTGCTACTGCTACTCCTGCTACTCCCGCTACTACTACTACTACTACTGCTACTGCTACTGCTACTGCTACTGCTACTGCTACTGCTACTGCTACTGCTACTGCTACTGCTACTGCTACTGCTACTGCTACTACTCCTGCTGCTGCTGCTGCTGCTACGACTACGACGACGACGCCGACGACGACGCCGACGACGACGACGACGATTGCTGCTACTTCTGCTACTACTACTGCTGCTACTGCTATTGCAGCTCTTTTAGTGCTGCTAGCGCTGCCAGTGCGACTACCGCTGCTGCTACTGTTGCTGTTTTTTCATTGCGGCAGTTGTTTTGAAACGTCCGCAACTCGCAGTATTGCTTTGCAGCTTCCTTCAGGCAGATGCTCACCAAGTCTATAGTGCTGTCACCGTTGTGGTCGCTGGAGGCACAGAAGCTGAGAAGACGCCTGTGCAAATGGTCATCGTCGACATTCCAAGCAACGGCACCTTGTCCGTTTGCATTTTTGGTGAGCATTTGTTGCAAAGGGATCTTGAACCCAACAAAACGGCAATTACAAACGCTGCCGGAAAACGGTTCATCATTGCAAGTATTATCCCTTGATAGTTTTTTTTTGGGCGGGTTAAATTCGGGGCTCTCATTGAAACTACAGATTGGCAGGGTTCTACGTAACATTATATAAACTATATTACTCTATATCTTAAAGTTTAGCGAAACATTTTGGGTCGGTTTGCGCTTGTTTCTACATCTCTGCTTTCCAGGTGCCTACTACACGGGGGCACCAGGCCCAGTTTCCCTCGAATCCATCCAAACCTTCGTGGATGGTTTCAAGGTGCCCTATCTTGCGGCCTCAGTGGGAGCGATGAACCACTAAAACGGATACGTTGAGCCACATTGACCAAAAAAGGTATTGGTAGGCGGCAAATTTGCTGACAAATCCGAATTGGGTACCGCATGAGCATCCAATACATGCATACACACCACCACCATATTTTTCATTTTGCAGAGGTTTCGTCAGGAAATCGCAGGCTTCGTTTGTGTGCAGGCCGGGTCTTTGGAAAGGAAACAACTTGGCTGAGGCTCTTTGCCAGCTACCAGTTCGTAGTGTCCCTCGGGGTTGTCAATCGTGCACTTTGACACCCCCAATCTGGTGAAGGGGTGGACCAAATTCTGGCTTTCCCTTAGTAGTTAGCTACAGAAATACGTTGAGTCTACGTTGACTTTATCTGGTGACTCTGTGAAGCTCATGGTGGCGGGCTGATTAGCTGTGTACAGGCTACCTGCAGCTTAAGTCTCTCAAGGGGTTCTGATATGCCCAGATTTCCTCAACATGCAGAATCCACTCGGTTGCTCTGTGTTTGTTCCTAAATCTGCAGCCACTCATTAGGGCCATTGTTTTGACTTTGGTTGGTATACAACAACTATTATTTTACAATATGACAATACAATGTAAATCAAAGTTCACGTTGGGTCATTGACACGGTATACATAAAATATATATAGTTCAGATGGAAACATGAATGCCTTAAATTTCAGCCCGCCCAATAGTAAACCATCCTCAATATTATCAGCATGGGTGGGTTATTAAATTTTCCCCCAATGGTAGTTGTTTCTTATATTAGTTATATTATATATTCCATTTATATCCTCTCATAGTCGATTGATATCCCGTTATCCAGTTATATCCCCGTTGTATCCCCAGTTACTTGGGTGGATCCCACATTGCAATACGGGTTCACAAGGGCAGCTCGTGCAGCAGGACCCTTAGAGACTCAGAGTTGGCTGTCGGTTCATGAGACAAAACGCGGCTGCTGCTGGCTGCGGGGATTGAAGTAAGCGACAAAAATGGGAGTGTTCATAGAACTTGGGGTTATATATGGTTATATGGCTATATGATTGCATTTCATGGGCGATATATGACCAACTATTTATGATATTTGGATAAGGGCCAAACATGGGGGAGATAATTACCTCCATTGTAAGATGAAGAGGGATCATTGTGAAAACCAGTGCATGTTTGTGGTGCCTTTTTTGGACAGACGTACAATTAATCTTCAATTAGGATAAGCACAAAGAACCCAACCGACAACTACAGCTTACTTTGTGTATGAATCTGAACATAAGGAAAGAAGGGCATCAAAAAGGTGGTTTTGCCCCTTTTGGACCTGTCCCTCTGGTCATCGCTTCTTGATCAGGTCTTGCAGGGGTTGGAGGATCCTGAAAAGGTCCTTGATCAAGCCGTGGACGAGATGCAGGCGGCATGGCCCGGCATGGCCGGGCATGGCCGGGCATGGCCGGAGAAATGGTAAAAGTGTATTACTGCAGGTCATTTAACTGCAGGTTGCGAGTGTGTATTACTGTCGGACGGTCAAACTCAAGCCACCCGATATTTTTTGGTGTGCATATCTGGGTGAGATGATCCACAGTCATTGCCTTTCTCAGCGTTATCAGTTTTAAATGGTTCATACGGATGATCCCCCAATGGGCCAAGGTGATGTTGGTCATTACTTTTCTTTTTGTATTTTTGTATAGCCTACGATGAACATCAGCCAACATGTCATTCTTTGATCTCCTCACTAGAGCGTCCAAGTATGGTATATCGACTCCAAAACACCCAACATGTAAGATGGATTAAGATGGTATGTTGATAAGTTTGGTATACTCTGTTCATTGGTTTCCCACTCATTTGGTATGTTAAGATATACCAAGATATATTACATATAATCTACAAGTATATATATATATATTTTCTGTTGGTATGTTATCCATTTTCATCGGTATACATCAATGTGGTAATGCCATTCCATATCTTTTATTGGTAAAATATGGAAGGTTTTTCCAATAGGTCCATTTACCACTATCCATTCATATGATGTTATGGAAATCTCATTCCATATGACTATTCTATACCTTTCATTTTTTTTTTGGTAAGACATAACGAAAAGATATATCGTGTTTTACATAGTATCATTGGCACATATTGGTATATCATATTAGTTGTTAAAATATCATATATTGGACTTAGACACCAACCATCTCAAATTGATATACCATTGGTTTACCCCAATATTTCGTATATCATTGGTTTACTAACCATTCTTACTAATCATGATATACCATTGGCTTATTATTAACCGTTAGTTTTCCCCAATCATTGGTACATCCATCATTGGTTTACATATCATTGGTATATCGGTATATCATTAAATTTGCATTACCATCTGATTGATTAACCAATAACTACCAATGTTTTATATTGGCATTGCATAACATCATATAAACCATTGGTAATCATATAACCATTGGCATTAAACAACTACCATGCTTGGTTTAACATATACCGATGATTACCAACCATGGAAACTGTGGATTTGCGTCCTATCTGATCAGGCCGATCTTATCAAGGTGAGGCAGTCCTACGCGGAGGCTCGGGGGAACTGGGCGCAAGGGGCTGGCAGGGGCAGGGGTTGGTCAAAATTCATAAACTAATGGTGAAACTAATGGTGAAACTAGTGGTGAAACTAATGGTGATGATCCATGTTTTTGACAGTTGGGGTTCCCAAAGTTGGAGACGACCAAATTTGAAAACCAAATTTCGGGGCGTTTTGAAGTTTGAAGTTTCACAGACGTTCAGACAGCGGACACCGCAAAAAAACAGATTGTCCATTCTTGTAGGGAGCCTGGATATTCTGATCATACCCGGTTCAGTAGGAGTAGTCACACTGATGATCCGAATGGTAGCAGCAGTAAGAGTTATGACATTTTCACCAGTAGGGGAGAAGTACTAGAAGAAAAGCAGCAGGATGGCAGTGCGTGGTTTACTAGTGGCAGTCATGGCAGAAGCAGCGATCGACCAAGGTCCTTGCAACACAGAGGAGACTCCAGAGCCAGAAGGAGCAGGGGATCTGTTGAACTGCTTGGAGTGATGGGATTGAACATGATTGAACATGTTTAAATCCTGCGCTAACCATTGAATAGATGAATGTTATATTATATAATATCTATTTTAAAAAACATATGCTGGTGCATTTGCCATTTGGCCGCCTCTGCCTCAGTTGTTTCGGACGATGTGGCAGCCTTTAGCTCCAAGGAGCAAACCGATAAGATGGCGGAAGACTGGTACCGCCGGGCCGAAATGGCTGTGGAGAAGGGAGACGATGAATTGGCGAAAGAAGCGTTGACACGGCGGCAAACTGCTGTTACAAAGGCACGGCAACTGACAGCATTTCACAGCGTTGATAATTCATGGATGAGCCTTGATTTTCCATGTACTTCAATCATCAGTCAATATAAATAAATTACGTATAATTTTGTCAATTTTACAATAATATCGTATAACAGTTATATATATATATCGCATATAATATATATTATGCATATAATATATAATATAATATAGTATAATATATAGTATATGTATGCTATATGTATATTATTTCGATCATATTTGATTCTCAGCGGAAAGCCCAGTGATTTGCAGTTTTCTGCTTCCAGGCCACTGGACTGCAGGAGCAGATCGATGCCATGGGAGGGTCTGGACCCTGTGGGCTTCGACCCAGCGGCCGCCATCGTAACGTGCGCCACGGCACCGAGGAACGTGGAGAAACTCTTTGATTCGGTGAAGGCCTTGGAGGTGCATGGCGATGCTCATAGGTTGATGGACCATCGATGGATGATGGATGGGAAAATCGCCCCTTAAATAATATGATAGGCACTGATTCCAATATAGGCAATGGAGTTGTTTGGAAGGCCAAGTGTTGAGGACAGAAAGCAGAACCTTTTGGATTATGTTTGGATGCAAGGACTCTTAGTTCATTTGTCATGTTGTCTTATATGATATGTTCGACTTTGTTGAGAGCTGACCCAAACCCAATACCATGCCAACCACAAGAAGCCTCAACAAAGGTGAGTCCAAAAGAGCCAGCAGAAAGCCCGCACAATATCTTTTCAAAATTTGTTTCAGACCAAGAATCCACAGGGCCTTGCATAGGATTACACCCTTCTATTCAGATCCAGGTTACACCTTTAATTTTCTACTTGAGCAATGGTTGAAACTTAACGGTTGTGTTCCCTAACCGTCACGGACACATTTACATTTGAAAGAGAAACAACCCCATATGTCCTTCTACTGTATTCTTTTTTTCCCGAATGCGTAGCGAAGGGTTCCCGTTTATAGTCTGGGGGTCTGGGGGCTGGACCCTTGTTCGCCTCCAGTTGGTCGTCGCGTCGTTTTCGCACCGTTTTTGGCGTCGTTTTCGCGTCGTTAATTCTGTGACTATAGAGAAAGCTGCAAAGCCTCGCTTGTTTTGCTGCGCTCACGTCGCCATGTCTATAGGGGAAGCTGCAAAACATCAGTCTCTGCTTGTCCTCTGGCATCGCCGTGTCTATAGGGGAAGCTGCAAAACATCGTTCGTTTTGCTGCGCTCACGTCGCCGTGTCTTTGGGGGAAGCTGCAAAAATTCAGTCTCTGCTTGTCCTCTGGCGTCGCCGTGTCTATCGGGGAAGCTGCAAAACCTCGTTCGTTTTGCTGCGCTCACGTCGCCGTGTCTATGGGGGAAGCTGCAAAAATTCAGTCTCTGCTTGTCCTCTGGCATCGCCGTGTCTATAGGGGAAGCTGCAAAACCTCGTTCGTTTTGCTGCGCTCACGTCGCCGTGTCTTTGGGGGAAGCTGCAAAACATCAGCCTCTGCTTGTCCTCTGGCATCGCCGTGTCTATGGGGGAAGCTGCAAAACCTCGTTCGTTTTGCTGCGCTCACGTCGCCGTGTCTTTGGGGGAAGCAAGTAGTTACTGCAAGCTTTGTAGTAACGGAGTAGTACTGGGAAGTAGTTTGTGCAAGCTTTGTAGTACACAGTAGCACTGGGAACGACTTTGCGCAAGCTTTGTAGTACAAAGTAGTACTGGAACGTGCTTGTGCAAGCTTTGTAATACAAAGTAGTAGTGGATCGATCGTTTTTTTGCGCTCACGTCGCCGTTTCTTTGGGGGAAGCTGCAAAACCTCGTTCGTTTTGCTGCGCTCACGTCGCCGTGTCTTTAGGGGAAGCTGCAAAACCAAGCTCATTTTGCTGCGCCCGCGTCGCCATGTCTATGGGGGAAGCTGCAAAGCATCAGCCTCTGCTTGTCCTCTGGCATCGCCGTGTCTATGGGGGAAGCTGCAAAACCTCGTTCGTTTTGCTGCGCGCACGTCGCCGTGTCTATGGGGGAAGCTGCAAAACCTCAGTCTCTGCTTGTCCTCTGGCGTCGTCGTGTCTATGCGGGAAGCTGCAAAACTTCGCTCGTTTTGCTCCGCCCACGTCGTCGTGTCTGTGGGGGAAGCTGCGAAGTTTTTGTGGGAAGTAGTACTGGGAAGATCTGAGAAGTGCTTTGTGCAAGCTTTGTGCACGCTTTGTAGTACAAAGTAGTACTGGGAAGTAGTTTGTGCAAGCTTTGTAGTACAAAGTAGTACTGGGAAGTAGTTTCTGCAAGCTTTGTAGTACACAGTATACTGGGAAGTGCTTTGTGCAAGCTTTGTAGTACAATGTAGTACTGGGAAGTGCTTTGTACAAGCTTTGTAGTACAAAGTAGTACTGGGAAGTACTTTGTGCAAGCTTTGTAGTACAAAGTAGTACTGGGAAGTGCTTTGTGCAAGCTTTGTAGTACAAAGTAGTACTGGAATGTGCTTTGTAAAAGCTGTGTAGTACAAAGTAGTACTGGGAAGTGCTTTGTGCGAGCTTTGTAGCACAAAGTAGTACTGGGAAGTACTTTGTGCAAGCTTTGTAATAGAGTGTGGTGGAGTGTGGAGTGTTGTGGAGTGTGTAGTGTGGAGTGTAGTGTGGAGTGTAGTGTGTGGAGTGTGGAGTGTGGAGTGAGGCGTGAGGGGTGTGGAGTGTAAAGGGTGGAGTGTGGAGTGTGCAGTGGGTCAAGTGTGGAGTGTGCAGTGTAGAGTGTGGAATGTGGAGTGTAAAGTGTGGAGTGTAAAGTGTGGAGTGAGGAGTGTAAAGTGGAAAGCGTGGAGTGTAAAGTGTGGAGTGTAAAGTGTAGAGTGTAAAGTGTAGAGTGTGGAGTGTGGAGTGTAAAGTGTGGAGTGTAAAGTGGAAAGGCGTGGAGTGTAAAGTGTGGAGTGTAGAGTGTAAAGTGTAGAGTGTAAAGTGTAGAGTGTGGAGTGTGAGTGTAAAGTGTGGAGTGAGGAGTGTAAAGTGCAAAGTGTGAAGTGTAAAGTGTGGAGTTTAAAGTGTAGAGTCTGGATTGTGGAGTGTAAAGTGTTGAGTGTGGAGTGGAAAGTGTCGAGTGTGGAGTGTAGAGTTTAAAGTGTAGATCGAGTGTAAAGAGGGGAGTGTGGAGTGTAAAGTGTAGAGTGTGGAGTCTTGAGTGTGCAGTGGGTAAAGTGTGGAGTGTGGCAGGTGGTGGTGATCTCGTTGTTCTCGTGATGTTGTTGTGCTGGTGATGTTGTTGTACTGGTGATTTCGTTGTGCTGGTGATTTCGTTGTGCTAGTGATTTTGTTTGTTCTGGTGATTTTGTTGCGCTGGTGCTGTTCGCTGGTGATTTCGTTGTGCTGGTGCTTTCGTTGGGCTGGTGATGCTGTTGTGCTGGTGATTTCGTTGTGCTGGTGATTTGTCGTTGTGCTGGTGGTTGCGCTGTTGATGTTCGCTGGTGCGTTCGTTGTGCTGGTGATTTCGTTGCGCTGGTGATGTTGTTGTGCTGGTGATTTCGTTGCGCTGGTCATTTCGTTGCGCTGGTGGTTTCGTTGTGATTTCATTGCGCTGGTGATGTTGTTGTGCTGGTGGTGATTTCGTTGTGCTGGTTGTGATGTTGTTGTGCTGGTTAGTTGTCTCTCTGTGAACTGTTGCTCAGGTGCCTTCGCTGAGACGATATGAGCGCACGATGCGTGCAAAAAAAAATCGTTTTCCTATAGCAGAGGTTCGCACTCGTAGTCCAGGAACGTGAATACATTTGGGTTCGTGGCTTCCATCTTGTTTTTTCATAAATCTTCAGGATATGTGCGACTGGTTTGTATTTGCTGACAATGTGTTCCAGTTTCATTGAATGGACAGATGCTGGACTAGGCACTATGCTTCCCATTACATGATTTACATGACTTTCTTTCAATATGATTGTGATCTGAAGCCACCCGAGCGCTCACCCGAACTTGGATAGCAACAATATATAACAATTACATTCTTCAAGCCAAACAGTCAGAAATCGAAAGACATGGAACGCGCATCCAGGAGAAGATTTCGCAGGCCAAGGAGGCTCCGGTTCTGTCAGCTCTGAAAAGTGTCCACAGACTTTCTGGTTTGGGATTCCATCACTCTTAGTTTGGATTTGGTGCCACTATGATTTGACATATTTGACACACACACACACATGTTTGATCATTTTTGTCACATGACATGATTTTGAAGCATATTTGGAAAACAGCAAGGAAGTCGAACATAGGGGACCTCTGGAGGCCTTGAAACAAGGATGGTTTGTTCGAATGAGATTCAAAGACTTTTTTGGGCTCCAATCATCTTTCCAGTGTGTCCACAGCTGTACTCATCCTGCAAATTGGAGCCCTGCGTTGACTATGTACACTTGACCGACCATAGGTGACGCACTTTGCTTGGATGTATCGTTTTCCTGTCTATATACTCTCACTTGTTGAACTGCATGTTGATATTTGTGAAATCTTATAGTTGGGGATTTTACTTTGTCACTCACCATTCTGCCACCCAACTCATGGTTTGCTCCACAAACTTTCGTTGTGAGTTGACTTCTTTGTTGGGTACTTGTCATCATTCTGCTATTCGGTTCTAACTACCATGGTGTCTGGTATTCACTTAGTTCAAACATGTTCTAGGTTCCATGGTGATCCAGTATTCCTCTTGTTGGATGAAGCCCCGACCAGAATCCTCACTTGGCCTCAGGAGAAGGAGCAGCTCATCGCACGCGCGAGAACTGCCAAGACCACCTCCAAGGTGCGGATTTGGATTTGGTGGAATCGATGGAGCCATGGGTAGTGCATGAAAAATGAAGGATTTAAGATGGGGGGTTTAACGGGTTAACCATATGTTAACATATGTTAACCATCAAATTTGGGGCTTAAGATGGTTTAACATGTTTTATGATTCGGTTTAAGCTTCAGTTTTTTTTGTAGCTTCTACCTTTCACCACTCAAATTGGTGGTATAAAGCTATCAAAATAAACTTCAGCCATTCAAAAATATGGGGGTCTCACTAGGGAATAGTTTATGTTGATGCCAGAATTGAAGAACTATATTGACAATTTCATATCAATTCAACTAGCTATACATGTCATATTATATATAGTCTATAGTATTTTCACCTTCCAAATATGTCTCTATTCTCTTGGTTGACGACCCCACTGGATGACCAGCCCCAGGGCCCCCTTCTGCAGGTCAACGAGATGCTCTCCGACGTGACTTCCACCGGCTCCGCGGGCGCCTTCGATCGCATGAAGGAGAAGGTGCAGATCGCAAAAGGGTGAGATGACTCATGACCCATCAGTTACCCAGCTATATACAGCAACACAAATAGTATGGCAACCTACTATTGAATATGGCAAGCTCCTTAAGAATCTTAAAAAGATGGGATCTATGGGTGAAACGCATACTGAAACCATGGGATGTCGTTAACTCGATCTTTTTGGGGGGCTACTGATAAAGATCGTTTTGGAAGGTTAACTTCGGATGTTCGTTGGCCATAAACCGGTATATGTGTACTTGCCAGTAGAAATAGGTTTTTGAAGGGTTGACGGGTTTCTAAGGACAGCTATGTTTATAGTGCGAAGTCACACTAATCAATTGGGTAGAAGTATGTCCTTTCATGTTTGGCCAGGGTGTTGTTGGGCACAAAAGTGAGCTCACGAAACTGTGGGTTGGAGACCTAATGAGGCCAGAGATGACATTGACATTGATTCATGTGATTGTCTCTTGCCCTAAAGATACATTCATTTTGTGTCCAAAAACCGGATACCACGGATAGCAGAGACACGGATGATGACGGATGGTATATGTTGCCCAGCTCCACTGGCGTTTGGCGACGCAGGTGGAGATGCTGGAAACCCGAGCTGAGGCGCTGCAAAAGTAGGAATTGAGAGATTCATTGGGATTCAGCTAGGGATATCTAGGAATGTATTGAGATATGTTTGGGATTTAGTCCACTTATATCAACTTCATGGATCAGAAGCTTCACTTCACCAACTGCAATATGGCTATTGGGGAGCAATGCTGCGATGCTTCACATCCTTTTGATGGGACCTCAAGAGCTCATGTGAACCCCGGAGTCAGTTACACATGGTATAGGTTAACATGTTGCTACCAACGGACGACCCACCACTTTTTTCTTTTTTAGGGTCACACCATTCATGTTGAGTTTCCACTATTTTTGACCAACCGACATCAATCATTCTATTCCATTTCCATATTAATTGTTCTATGATTGTATATATATATATATATGTATAGTGGGTGGTTTTTTGTTAGTGTCCCCGACCGATTATGTTCTCCCCAAAAAATGTTGGTTGTCCCCATCTATCATATTATGTACAATCTATTCATGATATTAGATATTTTGTTGAAATGACTATACTTATATATATATATATTTGCTGTATAGACATATAGATATATCCCAGGACAGACACTGGCACGCTGTCTCAACCAGGTGTCCCAAGGCATGTTGCCTGAAGCCACCAGTCCAGGAAGCCTGGAGGTGACCGGGACACGGCCATGGGGAGCCAAGGAGCTATAGCAGCTATGAATTGCGCTTCCCAAGCACATTATAGTTATCGAAGGAAGTTTAGAAGTCAAACTTCCGACAATATGGACAGATGAAAAGCAGAGATGGGAAGAGTCAGAGAAGAGAAGAAGAAAGAAGATTCAAAAGAGAAAGTCTCCGAAGAAAGAAGATCCAGGTGCGCGAAAAGGTAGGAAAGTCGCGAAACACTGTGTTTTTTTCAATAATTTGAGGCTCCATAGGTTCGAAAAGTAGGCTGGCTAAAGCAGCGGGTGCGGAGCCATCTGGCCAGATGAGAGATGAACAATTGCACGCCGTTGTGGCGCGAAGCACATTTCCAAGTCAAAATGTACAAAACACACCATTCTCGGACCACTTTTGGACGTTGAGATGTCGAAAAAGTGCACGCCGTTGTGGCGCGAAGCACATTTCGAAGTCAAAAGTGTTAAAAACTGGCGGTCTCGGACCACTTTTGGAAGTTGAGATGTCGAGAAAGTGCATGAAAGTGCATACTGTTGTGGCGCGAAGCTCATTTAGAAGTCAAAATGTTAAAAACACATCTTCGCGCCACTTTTGGAAGTTCCCGATGTCGAAAAAGTGCGCGCCCTTGTGGCGCGAAGTACATTTCGAAGTCAAAATGTGAAAAGCACCACATGCTTGGACCACTTTTGGACGTTCAGATGTCATTTCGCGTGGCAGGCGGAAAGGATTGTGGACCTTGTCAAAAGTGAGCAAAACGTGAGGGTTTTGTAGCATTTCAAAAAACGATGGCAGAGGTTTGACATTTGAAGAGGATCTGGAAAGATGCATTTTCCGCAGACGCAAAGAGACATGTTCATCAGAGCTGTCAGGAGGTCGGGCGCTGATTTCCTGAGAGGGGTTGCATTTTGGAGCATGATCAGATCTTCAGGTTTGCTGAGATGATTTTGCGTGACAGGTGCAGCACTTCGTATGACCTGGCATCACTTTTTTCCTGGTAGGCGCAGTAGTTTAGACAGATGGACTGGAAAAATAGCAAAACGCATGGGTTCGAGGCCGTCAGCTCTGCACTCAACTTGCCATTCTTGAAGGAAGACGCGCAGAATTCTTTCGTTTTTGATGTTGTCAACTTCGACAAATGAGGAAGTCTCGCGGAATTGTTTCGTTTTTGATGTTGTCAAGTTTAAAAATTGAGGAAGTCTCGCAGACTTGCTGCGTTTTTGATGTTGTCAAGTTCACAAACTGAGGAAGTCTCGCAGAATAGCTTCGTTTTCAATCTTGCAGATAGATAGACAGACAGACAGACAGAGAGAGAGAGATAGATAGATAAGATAGATAGATAGATTAGATATATTAGATAGATTAGATAGGTTATATAGATTAGAAAGATTAGACAGATTAGATAGATTAGATAGATTAGATAGATTAGAAAGATTAGACAGATTAGATAGATTAGATAGATTAGAAGATAGATAGATTAGATTAGATTAGATTATATTAGATTAGATAGATTGATTAGGTTAGATAGATAAATAGGTAGATAGATAGATTAAATTAGATAGATAGATTGGATTGGATTAGATTAGATTAGATTAGACTAGATGGATAGATAGATGGATGGATGGATAAATCGATAGATCGCTACATTACACAACACTAATTGCACTACGCTAAACTAATTATTTCTAATTACGCTACACTACACAAATTACACTACATCTACTGTAACAGCAACTACTACAACAGCAGCTATTACAGCAGCTACTACAGCAACTACTACAGCAACTACTACAGCAACTACTACAGGAACAACAACAACAACAACTACTACTACTACTACTACCACCACTACTACTACCACCACCACCACAGCTACAACTACAATTAAAGCTACACTACATTACACTACAATACGCTAATTAAAGTGCACTACATTACAGCTACAAATGCAACAACAACTACAGCTGCACTACACAACACTACACTACACTAATTACATTACATTACGCTCCAACTGCAACTACCACTACATTACACTACACGACACTTCACTACAACTACAGCTACACTTCTTTACACTTCAATACACTAGACTACACTACACTATACCACGCTACAGTACACAACACTACAGCACACTACAATACAATACACTACACTAATTACACCACACCACAACGACATCTGCAACCGCAACTAGGTTTACGACTGTTTCGCGGCCGTGGTACAAATGTCCATGATGTGAATAGAAAATAAGCACGCCGGTATAGCGAAACAATGATTTTGCACATCCAGCATGTGAAAGTGCATCATCGTCGTTTCAGAAAACTACTTGATTCATTTGCACCGTCATCATCAAAATGAGCATCATCATCATGATCATCATCATGATCATCATCATGATCATCATCATCATCATCATCACATCATCATCATCATCATCATCACCAGCGTCACCATCATCATGATCATCATCATCATCAACATCATCATCATCATCTTCATCGTCATCAGAATCATCATCATCATCAACATCATCATCATCATCATCACCATCATCATCATTGCAGCATCATCATCTCCAGCATCCTCACTAGCATCCTCAGGATCATATAGATCGTCAGGAGCTGCAGCGTCAGTTTCTTCCTTCGGTTGCGTCCACGCTCCACGAACACACGCGACAGTTCTTGCAAGAACTTAGCACTAGAGACTGATCCGATGGACCTGCGCCATTGGAATTGTAAAACAAGAAGAGACAATGCTGGGTGCACTGTACTTGGGACACCCTTGCCTATTTTCTACGGCCAGGCAGGTCCAACGAACTTCTTCAATCCTTGCCAACAACGATCCAACATAGACACTCCACAAAAGCAAGTTTACAACATAGACACTCCACAATGACATATATACAAACAGTGCTGTCGAGATCACAACATTGCAACAGAAAATATGGAAACACTATCCCCCCCCACCCCAACCCTTCAGTTGCGTAGCATCCAACATGAGTGCAACTTACGCGGAACGTTAACATGCCCCACCCCACCCCAACCCTTCAGTTGCGTAGCATCCAACATGTGACATGCGTACCACTTACAAGGAACGTTAACATGCCCCTTCCCACCCTAACCCTTCAAATGCATTCAAAAAGCAAAAAAAACACTTCCTGCCACGGCCGTGCAGCAGTCGGTGTCCAACTACACTACACTAATTACACTACTTTACAGCTACAACTTAAAACTACAACTCCACTACGCTACAACTACACCTACAACAACTGCACTTAACCACACTACATCCAGCAGTTGTGGTGAGGTGACCACTGCTACCATTGCATCCATTGCAGACACTCCAGAAAACACAACTCCAACCACCTTTCGGTCCATCAGTGGATTCGTTCTGCCATCCGTGACTCACAACAACCAACCTCTTCTATAGGTTTCCTATTTTTGACACTTCCGCCACCGCGTTGTGCGGCACTACTGGTACGATGTTATACGTAGTTATTGTGTATACAACTTTACTTATGCAACTTGATTATAGCGTTTCGTAGTTATAAGTGAATGATATATTACCTCTAAATTAGCAATTTCCGCTTTGTTGTAGCAGTGTTTAAACTTAGTATGATGGTAACGTATGGAATTAAAATCTTAGCCGTAACTTTTGAACTGCTTGTGTCACCTGCAAATCCACATGGACAGGTAGAGTTTACCTGAGGTGGAATCTTGCGATTTGGAACCATGCTATATGTTAGCATTGCATTCCCCTCGTCCCCATGGCTTCAGAAACCAATTCCAACCACAGAACGGGTACGATAGACATATATTCTGAATATATATAGATATCCCCAGAATCAACAGCATGATTGGCGGTATGTCTCGCCATTTCCTCTACATTCTTTGTGATGCCAGGACCGCTTCAAGCAGTCGTTGCCTTGGTGGTTTCCGCACAAAGTGGATGTGTCAAACCACCAAACTCCAAGGGTTTTTGGGTTTTCACTGGCTTGAAGGTTCACCTTTCAATTCTCTGTTTCATTTGTTTTAATTCTTTAAAAAAATAAGTTTCTATAGATATTTACCATTTCTTGATATTTATGCAATGATACTGCTTCTTGTATATATAAAATCATTTGAAAACCACTCCAAGTATCACCCCGACCTGGTTGCGGGGGCGTTTATAGGTTGGAATCCGGCAACGCCGTGGACGATGAGCTAGCTAAGTTGAAGGGCAAGAAGGCCACGGGCCGCGGGAACAGCATGGAGGTTGGTCATGGTGCCATCAAAATTGCAGGGCTATAGAACTAGCCATCTCATGGGGATATTATGATGTGACATATATATGTATATATATATGTATATATATATATATAATATATTACACATTTATTATTCATTATGAGATTCGCAGACTGGATTGGATCTCTTCCTGCATCTGCATAGGTTTGCAAAGGTGAAAAATGATGATCACAATACAAACGTAAGCAGGAAATGGTGAGATTTATCATGATTCATCACATGTTTACCTTTTCTCAACTAAGAATGACTTCACATTTTCCAATGTTTAGCGTTTCTTTTCTTTGGATGCTGCACAGTGATCCCTCCCATGCCCTGGAAGTCCAAGCCAGGCCCTTCCCGAAGGCAGCACTGCCACTGGTGGAAGTGGCGGTGGCACTGCCATTGATAGCGAACTGGAAGCCATGCGAAAGAAGTTGAAGGCCAGCCTTGATGCGATGATATTATATTATATGACTCTGTATATATATACATATCATATCGCATTATATTATAATATATATATATATATATATAGTTGATGGGTATATAGAGTATCTAGTTAATAGTGTAACCTAATCGATTTTACTCGATACCAAATCTAAATCCAATCTAAATATGTTATATGTAGCAACCCATTCCAACCTAATTTAACCTGATCTAACCTAATCTAATCTATCTATGCTTTGATTCATGAGGCATTCAGGGAATTAGCCACCTGCTGTGGGAGTTCAACGGATACGTGATGGTGGAGGTGATGATGATTTGATGATGATGATTTGATGATGATGATGATGATGATGATGATGGATTTGAAGAGATTAAGGTGATGGCGATGCTGGTAGTATGATTGCTTTCCCAGGAGACAGCAGACAACTGAGCCCGCGGTAGCTAGCACTTTTAAGTGGTCAGAAACTGCCTGTTAAACACCGAACTTCTTTGAAGCAAACAACAATTCGGCTGATGTCGAGCATTTTGTTGATTGGTTTCTCAGATCAAAGGTTTCACAGATGAAGGGCTCATTCGCTCAACTGGGCCCTCATTTTTCCCAACTGCTTGGCTAATCCATCAGGCGCAGGATGTTCGAAAAAGTTCAGAAGATCATCAGATCATTTATATCATTGTTACTGTTCAACAGTTGGTAGCTTATTTGCAATCAATGGCGCAGGATCCGCCAGGCAGGTACAGTTGGACAGACCGCCTTGTAGCTCGCAAAAGTGGAATCGGGAACGGGGGGAGTTGGAAATCTCTAGGGCTTCTTTTGGGCGGATTCAGGAGTTGGATGCCATCCAAAGAAACCACTTGGGATGCCATAATTTCTCTCAACACTTCAATTGGGGATTCGGGCATACAAAGTCATGGGCCACAGGTTTGTTTTTCTTCTCTAAGTCCTTCGGTGCTATAGCTGAGGTATCAGTATCAGCACCAGTGACACACCATTTGAGGTCGAACCATTTGAGCACACAGCTGGCTTTTTGGCCATTTGGTTCAGATGGATCACCAGCAATGATGTTTGCCAGGCAGAAACCCCCAGATTCGAAGCTGGAAACCTTGCAGTTATTTGACTTAATTTCGACTTTCAATCTTCTGCAGGTGTTCCGGAGTTCTGCAAGTATGTTACGTTTGAAATCTTGAGCTAAGATTTTTTGTGCATTGAGATATTTTCGTTTATGTGTTCTGATGTTTGCTGTTGATTTGCGCCGTTTTGGCAACAGTAACCTGGCAATAACAAAGGTGTTGCACAAAAGAATTGTTTTCCAAATAATTTTATATATAGCGTGTGTAATTTTCCATGTTTACTATGCACATGATATGCAATTTCCTTGCATGAACAAATCAAATGTAAACCACTATCAATCTCATCTGCTTTAACATGTCTGAACATGTTTGAACTATGGGCTCAGTTTTGAACCAAGTGGAGTACCCGAACATCCTCACCTGATGACTTTGAAGCAACGAATGGGGCCATTGGGGTTGTCAATTCAGGCGGCTTGCTGATGGTGGACATGAGGAGCTGAGTGATGGGTTGGCAGAGGTTGATGAGGGGGTACAATGGCAGAACCCAAAGTCCTCCAAAATTGATCTTCAATCAGAAAACCTATTTGGGTATGGGTCAATACCTATTAATACCATTTTTAGTGGGATGAACATCCATTTACCAGCTATTTTGGGGTTCACTAGGTACCAGGGTTTTGACCCATCCCCATTTGATAAATTTTGAGAAAGAGCCATGCCATGAGGGCAAATTTCATGTGGAACTTCGCCTGTCCCTGTCATATCCTGTCATGACCTCAGTACATAACCCATTGAAGGTCTTGACTCTCCATCAAATCCTTGGCCACAGGTCCAATTACTGTTTTTTTGGTTTGGCTTTTAGAGGAAGTGGGGCTCCAAATTTTCTGACCTCCATGACAGGGCCTCCACTCCAGAGCGGGGCTCCAAGACCCGCATCTTCGAGATGCGGATCAAGGAGCAACTTGGAGAGGTGTATAAACTTGTACAAATGGGAATCTTCGGAATGAACATAACTCACCATAACTCACCATATCTCACCATATCTCACCATATCTCACCATACAACTCAGTCACTTCACTATCTTCACTTCACTTCACTGGGACGGCTTCATTCGGACCTGAGGCAACAAATCACCGGGCAACGCTTTGCGCCTCCACCGCTTCGCTCTCCTCAGCCCCGGCTGAAACGACCCGAGTTGGAAGCCACTGGGACATACTGGGACGAGTGATGCGGTCATGGTGGGAGATGAAGATTCTTTGATTGTGGGGTCAATATTGAAATTCTGCTTTGGTGAAAGCGTTTTGAAAGCTTTTCCATGGTTTTCTTCTGTATCACAATCAACAATTCCAGGGAGAAATCAAAAGGAAGTGTGTGGGGATCCACTGCGAACTAGTTTCACGATAGCAACCAACAGGAGCACAGATTGTTTGGTTGTGTTCTTGGGTCGCAACGTTTCAGGTTTGATGTCCGGAGAAGACAAACTCCATATTTTGGACATGCAAACTCACGCCAAGCATTCATAAGCATTCAGCCCCAGCTATCTCTCCGCAGGGAGCGGTCAAGAGACCAGAGATAGCTGCAGATGCTTGGTGTTTTAAAAAGTGTCGGCTGCTGGGAGCCTCATGAAATCTTCAGGGATTTTCAGAGGATTCACATCGACGAAGCACCTTTTTACCTGGTCAAAGAAACCTTACGGACCATCACCCATACTTCAGTCATATTCAGTTTTGTTTCACCTTCATAGAAAACCAATGGGACACCAATGGGCCGGGTTGCTGCTTCATCCATTCCAATGTGAGCAGCCAAGGAAGTCCGACTGATTCAGCCCTGGTTCAATCTGCTGCAGCCATGCAAAGATTGCTTTACCAGCACATTTGATGAGGTGCCGGCGGCACCAGTGCCAAAATCTATGATTTGAAGGCCATAAAAAAGGTCATAAAAGGTCCGATGTTTGAGACTGCCGCATTTGCATGTTCAGCTCATGCTGAAACAACAAGTCTCCCAACTCCCAACATTGACTTTCCAAAAATCATGGTTCATGATTTGGTTAGACCCAAAAATCACTGGTAAACAAATAATCCTAGATATTCCTATAGATATGTTTCCCAATGTTTCCCCATGTTTTTCCCGTATCCGTGTTTCCCCGTGCCATTTTTTTTGCTGGGCCTGGCGTCAACTAGTTGATCCGCAGGCATGGAGCCTCTCCACCAGCCGCGAACATGTCTCCGGCATTCGAAGTCCCAGGACGCCTTGGGGGGCCGTTGAAGGGTGTCGACTGGGTGGTTGAATATGGGGAGGTACTGGTGGTAGAACTTAAAGTTATAAAAGTTAAGATAGTCTAACCTAAGTTAGAAAAGTATGATATCAGATATCAGATTGATATAAATTATAAGTATGTCATGTGTATAAGTTATTTTGATGGGTGATGCTTGGAGAATGTATGGTTTTGACTTTTGACCCTTCAAGTTTTGCTTGAAGTTTGGGATCCCAAGAAATCATCCAAACTGACGTCCATATTTTGGTGGTGGAAAGCCATCATTTTTAAGGGTTATTTTCCCATGAAAATCCCAGGACCCATTTGAGGTTGTTTGAAAATAGGCTAGACCCAAAAAACATCCCTTAACATGTCATGGTTTATCATGGTTTATCATGGTTTATCATGATCAGTCATCATTAATATGTCCCATGTAATTTCCCATCATATAATTCCCATCAGTCATCATTAATATGTCCCATATAATTCCCATATATGTCCCATATAATTCCCATATAATTCCCATATAATTCCCATATAATTCCCATATATGTCCCATATAATTCCCATATAATTCCCATATAATTCCCATATATGTCCCATATAATTCCCATATAATTCCCATATAATTCCCATATAATTCCCAAAAAAATCCCATATAATTCCCATATAATTCCCATATATGTCCCATATAATTCCCATATATGTCCCATATAATTCCCATATAATTCCCATATATGTCCCATATAATTCCCATATAATTCCCATATAATTCCCATATATGTCCCATATAATTCCCATATATGTTCCATATAATTCCCATATATGTCCCATATAATTCCCATATATGTCCCATATAATTCCCATATAATTCCCATATCCCATATAATTCCCATATATGTCCCATATAATTCCCATACAATTCCCATATAATTCCCATATATGTCCCATATAATTCCCATATATGTCCCATATAATTCCCATATATGTCCCATATAATTCCCATATAATTCCCATATAATTCCCATATAATTCCCATATATGTTCCATATAATTCCCATATAATTCCCATATAATTCCCATATATGTCCCATATAATTCCCATATAAATCCCATATATGTCCCATATAATTCCCATATATGTCCCATATAATTCCCATATAATTCCCATATATGTACCATATAATTCCCATATATGTCCCATATAATTCCGATATAATTCCCATATAATTCCCATATATGTCCCATATAATTACCATATATGTCCCATATAATTCGCATATATGTCCCATATAATTCCGATATAATTCCCATATAATTCCCATATATGTCCCATATAATTACCATATAATTCCCATATAATTCCCATATAATTCCCATGAAACTGGCTATTTCATGGCTATCTACATCTCCAGTGACAAACTTTTATCGAGCCCAGGACCAGGAGTCAATCGCGAACCCCTGGACTGGAAAGCCGATCCAGTGCTGACAGCTCGCGGCCCACGAGTTCGCAGGTGGGGCTGGGGGGATAGGAACATATAGGAACTGGGGCTTCAGCCAGCAGGAAGGAGTTTTTATGGTTTGATAATGGTTAATATAGTGGCGAATAATGGTTAAAGGGTGATTTAATGATTAATAATGGACAGTCTATGGTAAATCATTGATTAATATAGTGGTTCATAAATTCAAACATATCATAAATGACAGGTTTTTTTTCGTTAGTAATGTGGGATTCACCCAGGCACCATCCCATTAACCAAGACCTGGGGGTCCATAAAAGGTCCATCATCCCATGGCGATTTTGGAGGATGGTGTCCATTACTGGCTTTGCCTCAAGGATGATGATGTTGTTATAGCCCATAGGATCCATGTATGGTATATATAGTTTTTTTTTTTTTGTGGTAACATTTACCATCAATATACCCCCGTTATGTTAGCATATATACCAGCACCATGGATCCTATGGGTAGGGAATACATGGAATACCGGTTGGCAATGATCCAGGCAGTGATTTTCAGCATCCCGTGACACGTAAATTTTCAGGGGAGATACTCCAAGCCATGGATTTCCCGACAGAAATCGAGCATCAGCAATCAGTAGATCACCAACTTGCACGGGTAAAGTGAAACCTGCCATGTTCTGTTGATTCGACCATTTGGACCATTTCTGTTTGGGAAGCCCTATAAGAATCTATAAGAGATGCATCAAACTTCAACGTCCCTACATCTCGCAGCTACTGACTTGACGTGATCACAGACTCCTGGGAAAAAAGGACTGTCAGAATTATCTGGTGTTGTCGTTTGTGTTTGCAATTGTACGTTTTATATCATTTTATGACTTCTGGGTCCATCAACCAGACTTTTACAATATTTTGTTAAGTCGTAAGTCCATGAGTCACCCAACTTTGAGGACATTATATTAAATTATATCTATATATAACATCATATAACTATATAATACACATATATATTTATATATTATATGTAGTTCATTTAAACTTTAAACTATATATTATGTAGTTCATTTTCTATCAGCTTCTTGGGTTTTCTGGTGGATCAATCACCACTCTGTTGGCTCCACCAGCAGCTTGGAGTCTTGGAGGTTCCACTGCTGCCGAGACCCAGGCGCTTGGAAGACGAAGGCCGGAGCTATCACTGGGGATGGGAAAATCATGGAAAGGGGGATTTTTCAGCCAATATCTTTAAATATGGTTATTATATAATGGTTATATAATGGTTATATAATGGTTATATAATGGTTAGATAATGGTTAGATAATGGTTATATAATGGTTATATAATGGATGATAATGGATGATAATGGATAATAATAATGGATATTACATAATATATTCTATGTGAAGTTTCAATCTCTACATCCACAATCTGATGAGATATTCATAGATATTCATTTCATTAAAGACCAGCCACTGCGGAATCGCCACCATTGCAGATGCTGCCACAGTTTGGCCCCCCGGCACGGCTCGCTGGCGGCGGCTCCAAGTGCAGCGCACGGTGCAACGCGAAGAGCGCAGCGAGCGCAGCGAGGGCAGCGTTGCAGCGGTGGTGCCGCAGCCGGAGCCGGAGAAGGTGGGCTGCGGATCACTGCGGTGGCTGATTGGGTCCTGGAAATGGACCAAATTTCACCAAATGTCTCAAGATGATCAAGATGTCTATCTTGGAGAGTTACCACACAAAACTGAGCTATATTGGCTTTGAATTGTTTATCACGAAAGCTAGCGCTAGCGAATGCTGGAGTTTCTTCTTACTTTAGCATTACTTTAGCAAGAGATGAGGCAGACCAAATGCCAAACCCGTGATTTTGCACGTGAAGCTCCCCCCCTTCCCTCCTCCGGGCGCTCCCGAAATCGATATGTGGTCCATGTAGTGGTCCATATTTAAGCCCACCTCACTCATTCCACCGGTTCCCTTTCACATCTCGCCTGACCGTGCTCCCATTTTCCCCTGCTTAGCTTTCGTTCACAAAGCCTTGGGACTCAAGAAGACTCAAGTGATGTTTTTTTTTCTTTGGGCGAGATTTCTGGACTTGTCTAATTTGGATGATTAAAGGATGTTTTCAGATCATATATCAGATTTTTCAAGTGATCTCTTTGTTGGAAGTTGATGCGGGGCATTGTCAGTGAGATCCTCTTGGCAGATTTACCAAGCTTGCCTACTCTTGGGCAGTCTTAGCAAAGTGGGTGTCCAGTGCATTCTGTTGGTTTTCTAGACTGGTGGAATAATTGTGAACATGCTGCAAAACACGAGATTTACTATGTCAGCTGAGGGTCTGTGACATATGAGTTTTTTTCATGAGCCCAAGTGATGGAAACACAAAGCACAGTGCCCAACAGCTGCAGGCAGGCAGGTTGTCCCCTCAGCCACCTACGAAGCCGCGCAAAGTGAAGCCGCGGCCAAAGCCCAGAAGCCGGCGATGGTGGGAGCTGTAACCAGGCCATAGCCACAGCTGTGGAGGCATGTTGACAATGGACATCTCAAAGGAAACCATACGGTGCAACTCTGCAACCTTGGGTCGAGGATTTTGTTTGCCAAACATGCCAATTATTTCTAATTACACTATATATCTGATGCGGATGATCATGGATGATTACATCATGTCCATTGTGGATCAATAGCAAACACTTGCGTGCTCCGGCAAGTCCCCACCCCTTGGTCCTAAAAACAGGACCAGCGGACCGGCAGGATCCGGGGGTACTTCATCCGTAGCAATTTACATGTGCCCTGGCCAATCATGGAACCTGCATCTATACCCCACCAACAGCAGATTTGTCAGCCAAATTCAGCTAATGAACAGGGACTCTCGCACACATCATGGATTTTTAATGAAAAGTTGAGATTTGTTGGAGCGCTTTGACAAGTTGACCATGGCACACAATAGATAGGCATACCAGCGGCAAAATGCTTGGTCATCCCCAGCACACCTCTGGACCTCGGACAGTGGCCTATGGTGCTGCCTCGTCACTCCGATTTCCTTTGGTTGAAAGGGGGTGGCCAAGGTCGTTTTGAGCTGAAGAGCAGTTTGGAACTGCTGTTTCACAGCGCCACTTGCACATGAAAGGCATGTCAAGACATGGCAGTGTTGGGCTGTTTGCAGCGCAGCATCGTGAGCTAGATGTGGCTGTGGGTCAAAATATCTTCGACCCCAGATTCTCAGTATTCAACCCTTTCCTTATTTGCATACCTTATTTTGGCCCATGCCCTTGTGAATGTAGCAGTGGAGAAAAATGGCCGCACCTTTCAACACATCAAAGACTTCCAGTAGAAGTACAGTGATGTGTTCAGGATGCTGTGCGTCAGTTGACTCACTTGATGAGGCTTTGCATTGTTGATTTTTTGATGTTGCAGATGATTCGGATCATGGTTTCAGGTAGCAGATCAATGCCAGGGATTTGGACCCTGTGCCACAGGAACCATATCTTTAGGCCTTGCACTGTGCAACAATTCAGGCATTCTCAAGAAATGTGAGCACGCTGAATCATTGACAACATTTGCTGCCACATGCTTTTCACAATTCTTTCGCATCAGCAGCAACTGCACCCATTTGATTCACTAGTTACGCAAATTAAGATATATTTTTAGAATTTTAGTCTTCCTCCATGGCCAAGTTAGTCGATGGTCAAGGTGAAGAGGCTGTGGTAGGCCGAGTCGGCTATTGGCTGGACAGTGGCGATTTTGTTTCCACAGCAGATCTGGATGCTGAGCACATCGGAGAGATCGGCTTCCCTAGAGATTGGCCAGGCGTCTATGGCAGTAGCAAGGCCTTGAAGCAGTTGGTTGGAAAGAAGGGCAAATGTGCTGGGAAGAAGGTCGGAGTAGTGCCTCTGCCAGATGCCAGCCAGCTTTCACTGGTGAAAGGTGTGCAATTTCATCCGCTTCAAAGCTTTTCCAATGCAGAGCGAGCAGCCAAAGCTGCTGGCATTGACATTGTGAGAGGATGGGCTGTGTACGAGCACCTAGAGAAAGACGTCAGCGAGGCCTTTGTGGCTGAGAGATTTTGGTGGAACTCCCTGGCAGATGGCACCTGGGTGGATTTCACCCCACGGCCCCAGATGTTTCAGGAGATGTTGCTGGCTGAAGCAGTGGATGGTGCCCCCAAAGCACAGGAGCCTCTCAGCGGCCCACAGCAGAAGTTGCTGCAGCACCTTCTGGCCCAGCGCTTCCCCAGTGCCGCGGCAGCCGCGCCACCGGCTACGGCGCCGGCCGCGGCACCAGCCGCGGTGACAGCACCGGCACCATCGGCACCCAAGGTGACTACCAAGATCCAGCAGAAGGCGAAAACGCCCATCACCCCAACGGCACCAGCACCGCAATCCTTGAGAGAATTGGCCCGACGTGTTCAGGCAGGTGAATTGGAAGCAGTGAGGCAACTGGATGAAAAGCTGCGTGGGGATGATGAACTCTGCGTGCAGATTGCCAGCGAGGGCTTGGCGACACCACTGTCCAAGATGTTGGGAGATTCAAAACACCAGGACTGCTTTGAGGGGATCGCACGACAAGTGATGAAGCTGTTTTTATGACCACAATCACAAAGAGAGTAATAATTAATGTGTTGTGAAGTTTTGCATGTTGATCAACAAGAACAAGCGCTCACTGAATCAAACATTATATTATCAATATGCACTTATGTTACATATGTTGATTTTTGTTGGTTTATAACTTATATTTATCACCTTTTTTTTTGACCTCTTGTTGAAGTCACCAGGCTCCATCCCATGAACACAGGAGGCTGCTCTGAAATTGATGCTCCTCCTGAGCGATGCGGGTGTCTCCCAATCCGCAGACGTGGGAACAGAGTTGATCGCAGGGGGGGCGGTCCCGAAGCTGATTCAGCTGTTGAGCAGCGACTCCATGCAGGAAATGGCTGCTGCCGTGTTGGGCAACTTGTGTCATGAGAGTCCGGAAAATCAAGATAAGCTGGCGGACAACCAGATGTTCCAAAAGTTGGTGCCTGGTTAGGCTTGTTTCAGGTTGTTTTCGATGTTCCATCCATGTAGTTAGTGGTGCTAATCCCCCAATTCTTTGACAAGATCTCATTCTTGATCTGCACTAGTTTTGAATGGAGAAACTACAACATTCTTAATCAAATAATATCGCTTCATTTTTTTGTGCATCCCAATTTTCGGAACAATCTCAGGTGGAGATGCTCTCCTTCCCTGGTGCTGTGGCGCAAGAAGCCGCCTATGCCATTTGGAATTTGACGGTGGGCCACGAGAAGAACAGCGACGCCATCGCGCGGCTGGGCGCGGTACCCAAGTTGGCGGAGCTGCTGAAGAGCACCTCGGACATTGCGCAGGAGAATGCTGCGGGGGCGCTGATGCACATCACCATCTCACAGGACGGTTTGGTTGGTTGGAATGGAACACATCTTCATGACATATTCATGAGATATTCATAGCATATATTACTGGATAGCCAAACATAATGAATGGATATGAATGGAGTAGTTTCAGTTTTTGTGTGTTTTTGTGGGGGGATGATAGTAGAATATGTCATTGCCATGATTGCAGTTGACAAAATAGAGATATCATGAACTTTCTGGACCTGAGCAATCCTAAGATATCCTAAGCATATCTGATTATCTAAACATTGCCTGAAATGACAGGAGGCAAGATCAGTGATTGGCAATGCCATTCCCAAACTCTGCGAGTTGTTGCAGGGCAGCTTTGAACCAGAGGTGAGCACTCAAGCAGCTGGAGCGCTATTGAATTTGGCCAGTGATTCTTCGGAATACGCCAAGCAGATTGTCTCCAATGGTGCAGTCCCTTCCTTGGTGAATCTGGTGAAAGATGGCCCTGACTTGGCCAAGGAATATTCTGCAGGTGCTTTGATGAACTTGATGCGTGGGGACATGGAGGTGGCTTCCAATGCAGCCAAGCAGGGTGCTATTCCCTCCTTGGCCAATTTGCTCTCCAGACCTTCAGGTACGTGTATGGTACATGTTAGAGTTGGGCAACCATCCAGATAGGTTGATCCCCTAACATGAAAGGTTTTCAACTTTGAGGTCCAAGAACATGCATACAGTGAAATTTAGTGAAATACTGTTAAAATTTGCGGATTCCACGAATTCCACGGCATTTGCATTTTGAGCCTGTCAGGTCATTCCGAGTCTCTTGGTGCCTTGGCCAACTTGGCCTCGGGCAGTTCGGAACGTCAGATCCAGATCTACAAGGCGCAGGTCACGCGGAAGACCGTGGCGCTGCTGGGGGATGAGGACGTGGACGTTCGGCGCTCCGCGGCGGCGCTGTTGATGAACCTGGCGCCCCACGCGAAGATCAAGGAACGCATCGTGGAAGCACAGGCCCTGAAACCTTTGGCCAAAGCCTTGAAGGACAGTGATGAAATTTTGAATGAACGGGCTGCAGGTGCCTTGGCCAACTTGTTCAATGACCACAGCGCCAATGTCCACGCTGGCTTTCAACAGGCCCCGGAGATGATTCCCTCCCTGGTGTCGTTGATCCAGACACCTGGCCTTTCGGAAGATGCCAAACGACAGGGTGCTCACGCCCTGGCGATGTTGGCAGCTGAGGATGGGCCATGTGATGCTGTTTGGCAGGCCGGAGCTGGTCCTCCCTTGTTGGTGTTGCTGAAGGATATGATTGGTGAAGCAGCACTGGGCATCATGAACTTGTCATGGAGATGGCCTCAAGTGAAGGCGGAGCTGGTGAAGTCTGGCACTTTGGAGTATTTGATGGACATGTTGAAACATGGGGATGACTTGGCCAAAGAGTATGCAGCAGGCGCTCTGATGAACATGACGGCAGGATCTCCTGACAATGCTGAGAAGGCCACAGCTGCCGTGAAAGATTTGTCCGAGTTGCTGAAGTCCAATGCAGTGCAGGCAGCAGAATGGGCCGCTGGAGCTTTGGCCAACATCACCAGATCAGGGCAAGCTGCGCAAGAGACAGCCATCGAAAATGGCGCGGCCACCTCCATAGCAGCTCTATTACCAAAGGTCACAGCCAATGGGATGAGCCTGGTGGTTTTGGCCCTGGCATCTCTGGCGGAAACCCAAGGGAACAGTGTCTCTAAAGCCTTGGGAGCTGAAGCCAAAGCAAAGCTGAGGGATTTCAGAGACAGCAACAACTCAGACCTGCAGGAGTACACCAAGACACTGGTGGATAAGCTTGGCCCAGGCTTTTCCTTGTGAAACACGCTGAAACACGGCGAAACATGGTGAAACATGGTGAAACATGGTGAAACATGTTGTGAAACCACCGGTGAACAACTTGGATCTCAAAAGAGGCGTGCCGTATCGTGCCGTGCTAGTGCCAAACTCACAAGCTTCCAAGGACTGGCTGTGAGAACTTGTCAGACCAACTTTCAGCATACTTTAAGTAAGCATGAGTTGTGATATTATCAAATATGTTATCGCGTACCTGCTGACCTGCCGAAACCAATCAGACTGGCACAAGTCAAGCAGCCAATCCGTGCAGCACAAAACCGAAGACACATGGAAAATCTTTGATTGGCACAAAACTGCAACTATCTTTGCAAGCTACACTGGTTTTCGGGCAAACCACTCGATGACTTACATTCTTACGATTTCACCCTTGGATGAAGTGAGCTCTGACAGAAGATCATGGGATGTCTGGTGTTTTTCTAATGTTTTCTTAACATGTTTTAGCCATTTTTTAGCCTGCAAAATTGACTCCAACTGTCTCCAAGTTCTGGGGTTTTGGGAGCTGGGCATTGCCCTGATGTCGACATGGCGAAGAGCATCAGAATTGGGACGGCTGAGGAGCTTGTGGTCCATTGGCAAGATCAGTATCTTGGTCAAAGGAGGCTCGAGAGAAATCCATCATCAACAACATTACTATAATTAGAATGATAGTTAGGATTGGGATAACTATCCCAAAATGGCTGAATTTGCCGCGTTGGTGAATTGTGAAAATGTATCCAGAGCATCAACATCGTCAGCAAAACTATCTCTTTCCTCTTGTTCTTGTTCTTGTTCTTCTTCTTCTTCTTCTCCTTCTCCAGCTTCTTCTTCTTCTTTCCTTCCGTTTTTCCTAATGAAGTCTTGTTTGAAGGTGTCGCATACAATGTTGCTGTTTGCTGATGTTTCAGAAGTACTACCAAGGTGGGCATCAGAACAAGCAAGACAGGACAGGATGTTCTCTTCCCTGTACTGATCGGGGTGGAGGGTCTTTGATATCTTTGATCATCAGAGACATGAAATTGTGACTGCCTGCTCCGGTAGATCCCAATTTCCATAGTTTCCAACCCTTCTCATAACATGCAGTTCATTTGGTTATAAATCCATTAGTTGGCTTGCAAATGTCCATCATATAATCTCCAGTTCCAATCTTCCAATATCATCTATTAAGTCCGAACAACTCCTCTAAAATCCCATCAAACATCTAGCCCATTGAAATATCGAGTTCACTCCCCAACATATTCCATTGTGTACACATTGAGAAATCCCCTATTTCATATATCCATTCGAGAATCCCTCTGGAATCCCTCTGGAATCCATCCAGAAAATCCTCCAGGAGCTCTGCCGGAGCTCCTTCGAGACGGCCTTGTGCCATGCGGAGGTCTCCTTGCATCGCAAGGCTGCGGCCTTCATCAAATCGCTGGGATGTCAAGGGCCCTTGGCCAGGTCGCAGGAGATGGGGAGGAAGATCCTCTGGAGATTTTTGGAATCAACATTCGGGATGGAAATAAGGATTCTGTCAGAGATCCAAATAAACAGAAACATATTTTATCATATTTTAAACACATCTGAAAACATCTCCAAAGTGGGAAAACCTCACATCTTATTCATGTGAATACATGTGAATACCATAAATGTCATACATATGCAATGAGAGGTGAACTCCCATCGAAACAGTTGCTTCATCCAGGACGCTTGGTTGACCTTCCGGGGCTTCGAAGCCTGGCTGGTGTACCTGGCAAACGAAAAGGCGGGACCTGGGAAGCCAAGCTTTGGCCAGGTTTCACCCAGAAATGGGAGTTGTGTTACGTTTATACTGGATGAGGAGGAGGAGGAGGATGAGGAGGAGGATGAGGAGGAGGAGGATGATGATGATGATGGCGAAAGATGTGGGTGTTGCTAGATGATGACGGGAAAGTAATATGGAAAAATGATATAACATCAATGAAAAACATGCAGAACTGGAGGATAGAATGCATGAACATGGATAACAGTGACTATAATGCTCAAAACACGAGGGAGTTTATTCAGGAATAACGGGAAACGATCAGTGTTTTTTGTAACTGGTTGCAAATGTCAAATGGGACAATCTCAAACATGGGTACGGCCCATGAACAGATCCATACCCCATGCCACAAACCTATTTTGGTAGATGCATTCAGAAACAACACAATTAAATCCAATCAATCATGTTGACGGCTTATATTTTGTTAGGTTATGGGATATTACACACACCATGGGATATTACACATCCCGTTCCACAAGCAACATCCGCGAGATCTGTATGATCTGATTGCCCAATTTCTGGAGGCGGCTCAGCACTTTGCTCAACGGGAGGAACAGCTCAGAGAGGAGGAGGACGATGGGTAAAAAAGTTGCCATGCCATGGTGCTCTGTGAGCTCCTTGTAGCTGGCTTAGTTGGCTCTGTGAGTTCTTGATTTTGGGATATGTTGGAGATTGCTGGAAGTATTCATGTGATGATCATTTAGAAGTATGCCATCTATTGCCAGATATGTGGACGATCCCTTTTCAATTCTGGTTGATGACATGGCACGGCTCGAGTCATTCTGGATCCTGAACAGGTGAATCAAACCTTGACGGCATGACATAGCGGGATTGAAATTCCACGCAGATCGTATGACTTGTGGATTGCTTCCATAGTCGATGTACTAGTAGATTGATTTCTGGGTAAATCTGTAGAGGAAATCATGGTTTTTCACACCCAACCGCTATATTTGTATAAATCAGTTTTAATTATATACAAATATAGGGCTAGACCCTGTAAATTGTTCCTTGAACCTTTTCGGGGAAAGTGGTTCCCATCGAACCCCTGGCAGGAGCAACATCAAGCAGACCTGAAGACCCTCGAAGAGAGCCAGGTGTCTATGTCGGCCAGCCATCCGTTGCGCAGTTTCCCATGGTTTCAAGGAGAGAACATATAGTAATTAAGTTAATTTAATTAAGACCTCATTTTGCTGGGGCAAATCTATGGTTTCCTGCGTATTTTTCTCTAACTAATCCAAGTATATTATACCATGGAAGATGTTCCATTCATTGCCATTCTATGTCGCAAACATACTCTTTTCAGAACCATACTTCCATAAAAACCATTGGAATATCTGTCAAACAGTTTGGATGAACAAACTTTACCCTCTGGTAAACTAACATAACTATGGAAAATCACAATTTTTAATGGGAAAATCCACTATAAATGGCCATTTTCAATAGCTATTTTGACATAACCAGAGGGTACAAACCATGGGGATTTTCCACAATCGTCAGGCCGAGATCTCCCGCTGGATCCACCGTGCCCAGCAGGGTCTGGCCACCTCCCAGCGGCACCACCGCGCCGCGGCGCGCCGCTGCGGCGCCTGGCGCAGCGGCGCCCAGCGGCGCGCGGAAGCGGCCGTGGCGTTTCGGCTGTGGCGCCCTGGGCGAAGATCTGGGGCTTGGAGGATGGTGATTTTCATAGGAAAATGATGGGAACATGATGGGAAAATGATGGGAAAATGATGGGAAAATGATGGGAAAATGATGGGAAAATGAGGTGGTTGATTGAAAACATATGGAAAAGAGGAATCATGTAATCATGGCTGATGTATTCTTGGATGTAGATGGGTGGTAAATAGAAATAAATAGAATGGAACGATCAAATTTGTTCTCGTACAAGTAGGGAGCAAATTAACCGTCACTGTGGATGTATATTTAGAAAGAAAAGAATGATGATTTATGCTTGGCAAACGCCACTTTTCTGGACGCATCATTCACCAAGTGATCAAGATGGGAAGTGTTCCCATGTTCTTCGGGGAAAGGGTATTGAATTGTCCCATCAGTGGATGACAACTAGAAATTATAGAGTAAAACCTTGTTCGATGATCAATTATTAAGTGGGATAGTCACCCAAGCAGGCAGCAATATGATGGCTGAACACTATTGTCCGAAGATTGGATTCCAATATATACTGTAATGAGTCTGAGTTGTTTTTTCTGACTGATCAATGGAATTACTATATATAAATCATAAATGACATATCACACTTCCAGAAGGTTTCAGCGATTTCATGTTGTCAATCCTCAAGGTTTTCTGGTGTGGAAAGTGCAGTTTTCTCCATACGCCTCAACATTTGCGGCTCCGCCGCATTGACCTCATGGACTAAGGCTGGTGGCCATTCAACGAGCCAAGAATGTGGTGCAGCAGGAGCAACTGGTGCTTTGGAGGAGCAGAAGCCGTTTGCTGCTCTGTCTCTGCGCTTGGCATTCCTTTGCAACTTCCAGCTGCCGCGAGCGGCAGAGGTGGGTCGCTTATTGGCTGGCTGTGTAGAGAATAACATGTTCAATAAATGTTCATAAGATCTGTTGAAGAACAGTTAGACGCATACATTATAGTTTCAATTGAACAGGATACCTAAAAGGATTAAACATGGATTGTTTGCAAATTTTACAGAAAGTTCCACAGCTTTGCATGACTCTGGAAATGTGTCCATTCCTGAACCCAGGTTGGACTTGGAAGAGAAAGAAGCAGCTTTGCCAAAACGGCAAAGGAAAGACTTGAAGTCGCGGCTTTGGAGATACATGGATTGGTTGACTATTTGCGACTCAAAGAAGGCTCAAAGGACCGCTTTTTTCGGTTGGAACGGATTGGAACATATTGGAACAGTATCCACCGCCCCAAAAAGGTGAGTTGCTCAGTCAGCTGCAAGGTCAGCAGAGATGCGTTCAAAAGACTCAGTTCCACAGGTGATTTAAAAGGATTTGATCCTTTGCCTATTAAAATGGCAATAGATGGGGATAAATATGGATAAAGAATGATAAAGTCTATAGCCTATACTTTTGGACCCAAATATCATCCATTAAATCCTGGTTTAACTCCCGTATTTTTCTGGAGTTTTCGGGACAAATCCATATCAGTTGTTCACTTTGGTTAAATCCCTTTTTGATTACAGTATTAAATCCCACATCCTGGGGTATCCATATCCCCCAATCAATATCAAATATATCAATCAATTAGATCAAATTTTTGTCACCAAAATCTGATCAAAAATCAGATTTTCTGCCAGTGAATCCACATTAATTTTCTCATATTTTCAAAGGGCTAAATCTGCTTTGAATCCACTCTGTCAGTAAAAAACTCTGTCAGGATCAGCCTTCATTTGTTGCTCCACTGCTGGCGCCTGGCCGCTTCAGTGTCCCAGCGCTGCCGCCGTACGGCGCGGAAGGGGCCCGGCTGTTTCGAAGCGGCGCTGCTGGCGCGAGCATGGGCGGCCTGGTGGGATGCACATGTGCCTTGGATGGGTTGTGACTGTACTGTAGATATCTGATGATTACTGTAGATGGTAAAAAGATGGAACAAAAGATGTAAAATGGGGTTATTTTATAGTTGATCATAGTTGATCTTGTGAAAAAAACCCTTTTGAATCCTGTTGATGGGTTTCTGGTTTGAAGGATCATAGCAGTCCCTCCCCAAACTCTGATGAGTTGGTTGAATGAGGGATTCAATGGCCAAACCTCCGGTTTCGGTGGTGTTTTCGCCCAAGTTTCTTTTTTTGAGTGTCTATTCCTGGCAGTTTGCAGCGCTCGAAGATGTCCACGATGTCGCCAGGTGCAAGCACAGGTCACCGCAATTTGTGCCCAAGAACGCTCCCAAGCCCTAGAAGTCAAAGCTGCACAAGACGCAAGGGCCAGCGAAATTGCAGGCGCTGTTGCGGTGATTCATGGGATATGATAAGCTTTTACTGCATAGCAAGGAAAAACGAAGATGAAATTTGAAGCGGGTCTCAACTCCAGACCTCCTATCACAACAAGTGTAAGTGAAACAAATAGATCAAATAGTCCATATATTGACTGGAAGTACATTAAAACTAACTACAGTAATATAAACCATACTGTTCTGTCCGTTTTCGCAGCAGTTCCTCTTCCAGGTCGCTGCATCGCACGGCAGTTTGACTGGCTGATGATCACCATCCTCCGTCGCTGGTGGTGGTCTGCCACCACGGGGCGTGGATTGCAGCGAGCCAGTGATCAGCTGGAAGCTTGGTTTTTAATGGGATATCATGTTTTTTTTTTTTAATGATATATTAAAGAGCTACGCCCTCTGCCGCCGACCCCTGGACACTGGAGGGTCATGCCTGCCTCTGTGTCGTAAGCATGAAATGAACCCTAAAGAAACCAGAAACTGACCTAAACAAACCATTTGTATGTGCGTTTGGCACTGTGCACATGCAAGCAGCATGGACCCCTGCAGGATGACACGCACAACTATGTGCTCTGACACTTTTTCATGGCTCAAGAAATAGGAGCTTTCGTCATTGGGCAGGTGTCTTGGGGACCTAAAGGGTTGCTCTAGCACTTAAGACCCATACCCGAAGCCCCCGTTCGTAACCGCAGTATGAAACTTGAAATGGCATCCTAAAGAGACCCGAGACGACACTGCACTGCCAACTGCCACCCTGCTCGTGTCCTCCTGGAGCCGGCTTTCGTTCTGCACAGCTTCGGTCCAAGCTGGAGTCCAAGGACCGTGTCGCAGGGCTAAAACACCATGGCAGTGAAGGACGGATTGGGCCCGCGGCCCGTATCCTAGACTGCCAAACGTCACTTTCTGAACCGACTAGAAACTAGCTCCAAACCCTGACTTTTCCTGCGTTTCTGCACTGCCAACTGCCACCCTGCTCGTGTCCTCCTGGAGCCGGCTTTCGTTCTGCGGCTCCAAACCTTGACTTTACCTGCGTTTCTGCACTGCCAACTGCCACCCTGCTCGTGTCCTCCTGGAGCCGGCTTTCGTTCTGCACCGCTTCGGTCTAAGCTGGAGTCCAAGGACCGTGTCGCAGGGCTAAAACACCATGGCAGTGAAGGACGGATTAGGCCCGCGGCCCGTATCCCAGACTGCCAAACGTCACTTTCTGAACCGACTAGAAACTAGCTCCAAACCTTGACTTTTCCTGCGTTTCTGCACTGCCAACTGCCACCCTGCTCGTGTCCTCCTGGAGCCGGCTTTCGTTCTGCACCGCTTCGGTCCAAGCTGGAGTCCAAGGACCGTGTCGCAGGGCTAAAACACCATGGCAGTGAAGGACGGATTGGGCCCGGCCCGTATCCCAGACTGCCAAACGTCACTTTCTGAACCGACTAGAAACTAGCTCCAAACCTTGACTTTTCCTGCGTTTCTGCACTGCCAACTGCCACCCTGCTCGTGTCCTCCTGGAGCCGGCTTTCGTTCTGCACCGCTTCGGTCCAAGCTGGAGTCCAAGGACCGTGTCGCAGGGCTAAAACACCATGGCAGTGAAGGACGGATTGGGCCCGCGGCCCGTATCCCAGACTGCCAAACGTCACTTTCTGAACCGACTAGAAACTAGCTCCAAACCTTGACTTTTCCTGCGTTTCTGCATTGCCAACTGCCACCCTGCTCGTGTCCTCCTGGAGCCGGCTTTCGTTCTGCGGCCCGTAGCCCAGAGTGCCAAACGTTACTTTCTGAACCGACTAGAAACTAGCTCCAAACCTTGACTTTACCTGCGTTTCTGCACTGCCAACTGCCACCCTGCTCGTGTCCTCCTGGCGCCGGCTTTCGTTCTGCACCGCTTTGGTCCAAGCTGGAGTCCAAGGACCGTGTCGCAGGGCTAAAACACCATGGCAGTGAAGGACGGATTGGGCCCGCGGCCCGTATCCCAGACTGCCAAACGTCACTTTCTGAACCGACTAGAAACTTCCAAACCTTTTTTCCTGCGTTTCTGCACTGCCAACTGCCACCCTGCTCGTGTCCTCCTGGAGCCGGCCTTCGTTCTGCACCGCTTCGTCCAAGCTGGAGTCCAAGGACCGTGTCGCAGGGCTAAAACACCATGGCAGTGAAGGACGGATTGGGCCCGCGGCCCGTATCCCAGACTGCCAAACGTCACTTTCTGAACCGACTAGAAACTAGCTCCAAACCTTGACTTTTCCTGCGTTTCTGCACTGCCAACTGCCACCCTGCTCGTGTCCTCCTGGAGCCGGCTTTCGTTCTGCACCGCTTCGGTCCAAGCTGGAGTCCAAGGACGTGTCGCAGGGCTAAAACACCATGGCAGTGAAGGACGGATTGGGCCCGCGGCCCGTATCCCAGACTGCCAAACGTCACTTTCTGAACCGACTAGAAACTAGCTCCAAACCTTGACTTTTCCTGCGTTTCTGCACTGCCAACTGCCACCCTGCTCGTGTCCTCCTGGAGCCGGCTTTCGTTCTGCACCGCTTCGGTCCAAGCTGGAGTCCAAGGACCGTGTCGCAGGGCTAAAACACCATGGCAGTGAAGGACGGATTGGGCCCGCGGCCCGTATCCCAGACTGCCAAACGTCACTTTCTGAACCGACTAGAAACTAGCTCCAAACCTTGACTTTTCCTGCGTTTCTGCACTGCCAACTGCCACCCTGCTCGTGTCCTCCTGGAGCCGGCTTTCGTTCTGCCGCTCCAAACCTTGACTTTACCTGCGTTTCTGCACTGCCAACTGCCACCCTGCTCGTGTCGTCCTGGAGCCGGCTTTCGTTCTGCACCGCTTCGGTCTAAGCTGGAGTCCAAGGACCGTGTCGCAGGGCTAAAAAACACCATGGCAGTGAAGGACGGATTGTGTCGGCGGCCCGTATCCCAGACTGCCAAACGTCACTTTCTGAACCGACTAGAAACTAGCTCCAAACCTTGACTTTTCCTGCGTTTCTGCACTGCCAACTGCCACCCTTCTCGTGTCCTCCTGGAGCCGGCTTTCGTTCTGCGGCTCCAAACCTTGACTTTACCTGCGTTTCTGCACTGCCAACTTTGAAAAACACCCCCCCCCCCCCCCCCCTTGGCCCCCCCCCCCCCCCCCCCCACCGGCTCGTGTCCTCCTGGCGCCGGCTTTCCGTTCTGTCACCGCTCGTCTTCGGTCCTCAAGCTGGGGGGGGCTGGACAGTCCAAGGACCGTGTCGCAGGGCTAAAACACCATGGCAGTGAAGGACGGATTAGGCCCGCGGCCCGTATCCCAGACTGCCAAACGTCACTTTCTGAACCGACTAGAAACTAGCTCAAAACCTTGACTTTTCCTGCGTTTCTGCACTGCCAACTGCCACCCTGCTCGTGTCCTCCTGGAGCCGGCGGCTTTCGTTCTGCACCGCTTCGGTGCAAGCTGGAGTCCAAGGACCGTGTCGCAGGGCTAAAACACCATGGCCGTGAAGTTGCGCGCCGTCTGCGGGCTGTGCCGGAAACGTCACTTTCTGAACCGACTAGAAACTAGCTCCAAACCTTGACTTTTCCTGCGTTTCTGCACTGCCAACTGCCACCCTGCTCGTGTCCTCCTGGAGCCGGCTTTCGTTCTGCACCGCTTCGGTCCAAGCTGGAATCCAAGGACCGTGTCGCAGGGCTAAAACACCATGGCAGTGAAGGACGGATTGGGCCCGCGGCCCGTATCCCAGACTGCCAAACGTCACTTTCTGAACCGACTAGAAACTAGCTCCAAACCTGGACTTGTCCTGCGTTTCTGCATTGCCAACTGCCACCCTGCTCGTGTCCTCCTGGAGCCGGCTTTCGTTCTGCGGCCCGTAGCCCAGAGTGCCAAACGTTACTTTCTGAACCGACTAGAAACTAGCTCCAAACCTTGACTTTTCCTGCGTTTCTGCACTGCCAACTGCCACCCTGCTCGTGTCCTCCTGGCGCCGGCTTTCGTTCTGCACCGCTTTGGTCCAAGCTGGAGTCCAAGGACCGTGTCGCAGGGCTAAAACACCATGGCAGAGAAGCACGGATTGGGCCCGCGGCCCGTATCCCAGACTGCCAAACGTCACTTTCTGAACCGACTAGAAACTAGCTCCAAACCTTGACTTTTCCTGCGTTTCTGCATTGCCAACTGCCACCCTGCTCGTGTCCTCCTGGAGCCGGCTTTCGTTCTGCACTGCTTCGGTCCAAGCTGGAGTCCAAGGACCGTGTCGCAGGGCTAAAACACCATGGCAGTGAAGGACGGATTGGGCCCGCGGCCCGTATCCCAGACTGCCAAACGTCACTTTCTGAACCGTAGACCGCTCGACCGCGATTAGAAACTAGCTCCAAACCTTGACTTTTCCTGCGTTTCTGCATTGCCAACTGCCACCCTGCTCGTGTCCTCCTGGAGCCGGCTTTCGTTCTGCACCGCTTCGGCCCAGTCCAAGCTGGAGTCCAAGGACCGTGTCGCAGGGCTAAAACACCATGGCAGTGAAGGACGGATTGGGCCCGCGGCCCGTATCCCAGACTGCCAAACGTCACTTTCTGAACCGACTAAAAACTAGCTCCAAACCTTGACTTTTCCTGCGTTTCTGCACTGCCAACTGCCACCCTGCTCGTGTCCTCCTGGAGCCGGCTTTCGTTCTGCACCGCTTCGGTCCAAGCTGGAGTCCAAGGACGTGTCGCAGGGCTAAAACCGCTCCCGCTGCTGACGGCAGGGGTCGGCGGATTATTCATCAATATATATCTACATATTTTATCGAAAATTAAGGTAGGAGACCTTTTCATAAGGTAATCTCACTACAAAAAAAATCATAAAAATTAATTTTGTAGGGGCCTTAAGGCTATCCATTTTGTATAAAAAATTCAAATAAATAAATAAAAATAATAACAACCAAAATCAAAAACATAACAATAATACCACCACCAAAAAGAAGGGAACACCGCCTTGAGGCGGGTGTGGGTTTTCTACAATTGTGTAGTTGGTGATTGAATCAAAAATCACCTTTTTACACTGTAATTTGCAATATTTTATGCTTGTGATCTATGATGTTTTGACGTTTGCTGCAAGATGTCAAAATGCCAAAAAAAACTTTTGCAATTCCGCAATATCTTCTTGAGATATAAATACATAGATATTTTAAATACCCTTTACATATATATATATAAAAACATGTAAACATACATGTATATAAAATACGCGTTTTAATAAATGTATGTTGTAAATAAACCTAGCAAAGTTAGGTAACGTGTCTTCGGTAGCGTTATCTTACAATCGAAAGGAACGTTATCATCCCCCCAACCCCCCAACCCCCCTCCCGGTCAAGGTAGAAAGACCGTCAGCAACAAAGTTAGGCAACGTATCTTCGATAGCGTTATCTTACAGTCGAAAGGAACGTTATCATCCCCCCCCCAACCCCCGTAGCAAAACGTCAGCAACAAAATTGGGCAACGTGTCTTCGGTAGCGTTATCTTATAGTCGGCAAAAGCATTAAACACGTATACCGCCAAAGAGCACAAAAGTGAAAAACACCACGCCCGCCTCGGGGCCTCGGAGTATTGACCCCAAAAACAACAACCAACAACAACAACAATAACAACAACAACAAAACAACAACAACAACAAAACAACAACCAAAACAACAACAAAAACAACAACCAAAACAACAACCAAAACAACAACCAAAACAACAACCAAAACAACAACCAAAACAACAACCAGAACAACAACCAGAACAACAACCAGAACAACAACCAAAACAACAACCAAAACAACAAGCAAAACAACAACCAGAACAACAACCAAAACATCAACCAGAACAACAACCAGAACAACAACCAGAACAACAACCCCAACAACAACCCCAACAACAACAACAACAACACCACCAACAACACCACCACCAACAACAACACCAACGCCAACGCCAACGCCAACGCCAACGCCAACACCAACACCAACACCAACAACAACAACAACAACAACAACACCAACAGCAACAGCAACAACACCAACACCAACACCAACACCAACACCAACACCAACAACAACAACAACAACAACAACACCAGCAACAACAACAACAACAACAACCACAACCAGAACAACAACAACAACAACAACAGATCCATGAGAGACCTACCGAGCGACAGTGGACGCAAAACCAAAGCTCCCAGAAGACCCTTTTTCGAATGGAACTGAAAGACCGACCGAGCGACAGTGGGGCCAAAAGTGCACTCAAAAGAGTGATAGACGCATGCGGTACATTCAGAAGAACGGAAACGTAAAACGAAAGCGCAACTGATGCAGGAGAGATCGACCGAGCGACAGTGGGGCCGAAAGTGCACTCAAAAGAGTGATAGACGCATGCGGTACATGCAGAAGAACGGAAACGTAAAACGAAAGCTCAACTGATCCATGAGAGACCTACGGGGAAACTCAGAAGACACATGCTCAAACACAACTGAATACCGAGCGACACTGGACCAGGGGGGAATCGAACCCCCGACCGACCCTGACCGACCGTACTGCATTTGCTTAGTGGGACACTGACTGGGGAGAAGAGAATTTTTCCCAAAAAAGTATCATTTTTTGATTTTCCCAAAATAGTAGTAAAATTTCGACCTCCGCGCAGGGGGCTCAGGAAGCACAGACTTAGTTTGTATTCGCGCAGACTAAGTATGTATTCGCCAATTTTCCCAAAAAAGTAGCAGATTTTTGGGAAAATTGGCCTCGAGAAACTACGCGCACGCGCTCTGGGTCAGGCTAGATCGTAATATTAGTAGTAATAAATATATATATATAAATATCATTATCATTGTTTTTTCCTCTTATCGTTTTCTAAGCCAATAACATATTAGTAATCTTAAAATATAAATTAAATAAACATATATTATTTCTATAATTTTCAAACATTAAGAATTTTATAAAATAATTATATATTATTTATTTAATTTAAATTATAATATAATTAATATTTAAATATATTTAATTTATTATTCAATAAATAATAATATTAATTATTATTTTTAAAAAAATATTAATACTAGTAGGGTCAAATAGAATCATGTCAACAAAACATTGCGCACAGGGATAAAAAAGTGTTCGAATCAATAACCCATCAAATAAAGAACTATCAAAATCTATACGAAACACTGCGCGCACGCAGGTGTGATACGACTTCAGGTCGATTGATACGACTTAAGCCTAGTAGTAGTAATATTAATTATTTTATTTATTAATATTTGTTTAAATCAAATATAAATAACTTATATAAATTAAAATATATATATATTTATTTTATTAATTTTTAAGATTTTCTAAACTTAAATATAATTTAAATATAAATAAATAAAACTTAATATAATTTCGTCGATATTATTTTTTTAAATAATTTTCATAACCAAATCGATTATTTAGGGAAATATCTTACCAAAACCTTCTCCCTAGATACCCACCTTGTGGGGGGGAGGATTGCTTAATCCCAATTTGATATTAAATAAATATAAGTAAATTATCGGTTGAATTTATTGTATATATATATATATTATATTTATAATATATATTATATTCATATATATTCATATGATCGTATTTTTTGGATTAATTATGAGATTGGAGATTCGTCAGAGTTGAGTTCCCAAACCGCTATAATTTTTCTGTGTTTGGGCGTTCACAAGTTGCCTGGCGCCGTTAAGGGGCAATCTAGTCTAGATTCTAGATGAATTTTATGATAATTCTTGCTTGTCGACTGAGTAGTGTTAAGAATCAAGTAATTCATTGTAATTCAATTTTACTGGTTGGTTAAAAACGGGATTCCTAATTCATGGATGATGATAATCCCCAATAATCCCCACTACAGGACATTATAAGCCCCTTTTTTGATCATCAACCAGGGGTAGAACGCAGCCACTCACGACGGCCTTGACGATGCAGCCCGAGCCATCAGCTCTGGACTTCGAGACCTAGGAATCAAAGCAATGCAAGGATGGGAAAAAAGGGAGCGCAGGTTGCTGTTATCAACACCTCTTCAAAATCCAGACGTATGGCATATCAATCGTTTACTTCCACTGACTCCATCAGCAATAGAAACCCGCATCTAGCATGAAGAGCAACACCAGAACGCAGGCACGGGAACCCGCACTGACCATTTGCAGGACCTGAAAAGCAACTACCAGGGACTAGTGCCAGGCAGTCAGAAGGGTTTAGCGTACCTAGATTCCAGTGGTAAACCCAATGCCATAAATAACTCACATTTGGGGATGGTTTCAATCCTATGACCATTGATGGTCGCTCATTGGAGATGGTTATATATATAGTGTATATATATATATATATACATATAATTGGCTTTAGCACATTACACTCAGGCACATCCACATACTATGCATATTAATATACGTATAATTATATGTGTATATATATTATTGTATATTATATATAATATATATAATATATAATATATATATATATGGCTGAACTATAATGATTGACCAACCTGAAAATAGCTGCACTAGAGCCATTTGAGGGATGATTCCCCTATACATTCACCATCATTCCAGTGACGGAAAACGACAGCTTCGGTCATGATTTTCCATTCATCCAGATTAAATTGATTAAATCATTAGATTCTATAGATGGCTTCCCCATGATATCCCTATGAATCTCCCAGGATACTCCCATTACAATCCCAGTATTCTTGGTTAAATGCCTTTTATGGGGAGTTCCTCACCTGGCATCCGCAGATCAGCTTTGATGCGCTTCACAGCCTCCCGGCCGTGGCGACGTGGCGATGGGCCAATCAATGGGTCATCTGTCAGATCTCGGCCACCGATTTTGCCAATCGCAATGCGATGTAAACCAGAGATGTTGGCAATTTTTTGCTATCTGTTTGTATATATTTTGGAGGCTACTTGATTTGTTGACATGTTTTGACATGCTTTAGCTAGTCATTTCTGGAGTATCCAATTCTCACCAACAGCTAGAATGGGACTTTGCAATCTAATAGAAGGTGACTCTATTGGTGATCGCCAACTGATCCAAGGACCTGCAAGGAAGATGTCATGAAATTGACAATCAGGTATATACCCCTAAACTATCCTAAACGTGCTGGTATATCATTTTCCCCACACAAGTCATTGCCCAAAATTGGATATAATATGATATATATATAATATGATATAATATGATATAATACGATATAATATGATATAATATGATATAATTATGGCTGAATCCCTCATTTTCAGACCGATGTCATGACAGGTCCGGTCCGCAATTCCGGTCGCATTTCACGAGGTCGTCTTTTTGCTGCTGTCAATGCGTCTCCAGCCACTCCACCCAGTGATGATGATCCTGTGAGCACCGGGCGAAGGCCAGTTTATGTCGAAACAAACATGTGACTCGCAACAAACATCTGTGAGCATGTACCCTCTATGGGTAAATCACATGGAAAATCACCATGATTGATGGAAAATCACCCCGTAAACGTTAACAAAAAACTATGGAAAATCACCATACTATCAATGGGTAAATCCACTATTTCGACTGGGCCATTTTCAATAGCTATGTAGCAAATTACCAGAGGGTATGATCTGATCTTTACCCTAAATCAATGTCCTACTTTTTCAAAACGACACATTTCGACACATTTCGACAGAGGACTCTCCTTGAAGTTGAACTTGTGCTTTGCAACAACCTCCCTTGTCAGAAGGGGTACCTGCCCCAATCATGAGCCAGCAGTCAATTTCTGAGCATGTAGCTCAAAATCAAAGGAGGGTTTCCATGGTCCACAGCTTGAGGTACTAGAGTCACTAGAGGGGACCTGTCGGAGTCAATTCAGCTTATTGCCAACTTTGGTCAACTTTTCATAGACAGGTTCAATATGGTTCAATAACGACTCATCGTTACAAGGCCAAAGATATTGCGAAGCCAAAGTGCTCTTGTGACCTCTTGTAAGTGTCTTGACAGCTGATCAGACCATGTAATTAGATGCCAGAGAGCGCAGATTGATCAGTCAATGCATACCCAATGTCTGCTGTCCCATACGTGAGTTGACATGATTCAGATTCGGAATTGCATTGAAAGATATTTAAAGTCAGTCCAGAATATTCCCCATAGGATCCATGTATGCTATATATGGTAACATTTACCATCAATATACCCCAAAATGTTAGCATATATACCAGCACCATGGATCCTATGGGGAATATTCTTGGACGTTTTCGCAACAAACATTTCTCAAACCACAGGGCCTCGATGTACAAATATCATCAAGTATCGACCACAATTTCCATATTTTGCTTACAATCAAGTAGACATTGGCCCAAAAACGGAGATATTAACGAACCCAAGAAATTGGCCAGCTCGAGAAAAAAAACACACATCCATATCCACATCCAATCCCATTCATCAACCAATTCTCTTCTCAAACATAAAGATTTCCCGTTGCTATTATCCTATCATTTATCTTTGTGTACTAAAGGCTACTAATGGGTGTTTGACTCATCCAGCTATCGGCAAATAACAAACCCCAGACACATATTATGTATATATATAAATGATATTATATATTATATAATATATACTGTATATATATATATGAAATTATGAATGTACATATCACTGAGAAATACTGTTTAAACAAACACCCTTTCCGCAGCGCCGCCCAACTGGCCATCTGCCCAATGGCCTCCACCCAACGCCAATTGCGCCCAAAGTTCGCTGAAGGCCATCGCCAGCCTTCGCTGGAAACTTGATGCTTGGTGGAATTTCATGGCCATCCCGATGGGTGGACAACATAAGTGGGTGGTAAAATATCCATATCACATCTTTGACAGCTTAACATGTTGTGAATTGTTGTGACAAACCAAGCAAAGGTTGATTTTTCGACATGTTAACTAGTTAAGACTCTTACTGGCCACAGGGCGCCCTCAGCAATGCCCGTTCCGCGCACCGTAATGCGCAAGCTTTGGTGGGTTGACAGCAGTGATCACGAGTTGATCCTGAAGAGCATCGACATGACGAAGGACGTGAAGAAAGTAGCATTAACTTCAATCAGGCCAGCCTAAATAGTGCATAATAGTGCATATATATAGATATTCAATGGATGTTACTGTACATGGCATAAATGGATCTACAAAAGTATAAATCCATCAATTGGAGATTAACATGGATAATGAATGGCAAAAACGGACATTAGCTGGAGATACGTTCATGTATGAAATGCTATGAATTTGCATACATGGACAGAAATGGATAGGATTGGCATATCAGTTTCGATCTGCGAAGAGCTCCTCATTTCTGGCCAAGGCAGCCCACAAGGAGAAGGAGCTTGGCCTAGCAGAAAATCATGTAATAATTGTAAATGGCCTCGAAGTTTCGTTTAGGGTTTTTTATTTTTTTCTTGAATTTCAATGACTTTCAATGATCATCAAATCTACTGGGAACCATGGCCATGCCAAGCGCCCAGGACCTTGGCCCTGGGCACTCGACTCTCAGAATCCAGCGATCGAAAGAGCACTGGAGCATAGACCTGTCGGGGCTCGCCATGAATTCAGCAGTTCACTGACCATCTCTGACCATCTCTGACCAACCACAATTTGTGACCCAGCCTGCAAGGCAAAATCAAACTCCTCGTCCGCTCCATCGGACAAATCCTGAAGAGCTCAATGTGTACTTCACATGATGGAATTGGATGTAGGATGATGTAGGTGTGTCTGAAGAATTAGGGTGCCTCATGGTGATCCCAAATTTCATGGTTTACCCAGGTAGTTTACCCAGTGAGTTACGTTCTCATTTTACCATCATTCATCATTTTCCCCTTCAGACAGCCATGAACGACCAGCGATGTCCTCTGACATCTTCCCCTCAGGTGCAGAGCCGAATTTCTGCACCACTTCTGCCTGGGCTTCAGGGCTCCGAAGGGTTGGGAAATATGTGTCCCAGGGCAAAATGGCAAGTTCTGCAGGTCATGTAAAACCATGTAACAGCACCGTAAGCTCAGAAGGCCAACCTCTCATATCCCTTGAGCTGATTCATCAAACTGACGTGTCAGATTTTTTCGCTGCATTCTGGCTCCATCCACAGATGCAGCGGCCGTAGCCTGAGGAAACCGTCGCTGCAAATATGATCCCAATGCTCTGGCAGCGGCGCTGCAAGGCCTCAAATTGGAGTTGTGACAAGCTGCAGCACGTGCTCCAACAAGCTGCATTAGAAGACAAAAGAATAAACTATGATACTATGATAAGCCTGATAAGCTTGCAGCTCTCCCAAAGGTCCCGAAACAATGATAAAGCGCAAATCCTCTTTCACCTCACAACCAAGGCATACCAAGGCCATGACTTTGCTGTGAGGACAGGTGTTTCCAACCGTGGAGAGAGCACAGTGTGCTGACACGTTCACTGAGAACGATACTGCCATACTGGGAGGTAGGGCTGCATACATAGAGAAGGCAGCTAGAGGATAGATACCTCGGATAGGCATCCTGAAAATGTGTCTCTAAAAACATCAAAAGCAAGGCATCTGAGAATCTGCTTCGGTACCATTGATTCAATTAATGTATGAAAATGATCATGGTTTGTAAGGGAGTTGTATCACTTCCTGGTCTCCAAATATCCCACGCACATCTCAGCTACGAAGCCTGCCATGGGGCCCACGCTTGCGCTGTCAAAGTGTGGGAAGCACCTGAAATGGATCACGGCCTCGGTTGTCAGGATGGCTCGTATGGCCCAGTTAATATGGCAATGTCAGACCATTTTCATAGAAGAAAAATGATGCCAAACCATAGGATTGGACCAGGGATTCCATTTTTTTCTTGAGACAAGAATGGCTTAAGCCTTGGTCCAAGCAAGAGACATCGTACCTTCTTAGAAAGGCTCGCACTGCCTGGGTGGATCCAAGAGGTCAGATTTTCACTCCAGTGGAGCACCAAAAAACTGACGTGCGCTGCCCATACGGAGTCACCAGCCAGCCATTTTTCGTCAAGCCACTGCCTCTGCACCACTCGAATGCAGTGCACGTTGGGTGTCAGCCTGAAAGATCTGAAAGCGGAAGCTAAAAAAACCCACTCTGAAGCAAAATGTCACGCAGCAAGCAGCTCTGCATAGCCCAGCCCAACCTGCACCATTGGCAAAATGGGCCGAAACCAACTTCCAAGACCTTGCAGTGCAGCGTGTTGCCAATTGTCAGGACATGTCGCAGTTGTCTGATCATCTCGCAGGAATGCGGCCATCTCCAATCCTGAAAATGGTTCAAGGCATCGTTTGGCGTCGCATCAAAACATGTTCGACACGCCAGGCCAGTTTCATTCCAGTGCTCAATAATCCAATAGTAGTCTATCATGTCATATCATGTCTATCCTTTGTCTTGCTTCCGCCTCCATCATTTGCCACCTATTGGCCATCTGTGAACTGACTAAGCGCTACTTCGGCGACTGTTTTTCGTTGAGGTTTACGCTGGACCACACCTCCTCTTCCGGACATGCTCGACAGATCAATGCCACTTCGGTGGAAAAGTTGCCTTCAAATCTCTTCTGAGGAATGCGTATGGGTCAAGAGTATCCCAAAAAGTAGATGGTTCAAATTGGTTCAACATGTTTTAATACTACTATATACTACTGCTATGTCACAATGCGGAAATTTTGTTGCTACATTTGTAACCCATAGACCCATCCCAACATGGCAGCCAGGTTGTGGCAGAATGTGAAGCGGGTCCAACGACGTTTTCTCCAAGATGGTGGATGCTGCTTTATGCGAAAATGCATGATCAAGCTCCCTACTTTTGAAAACCTATAAAATTGCTCATTTCCTCAATCAAGCTGCTCCAAGGAACTCCTTGCCGTGTTGCCCGTGGTAGAAAATCCGTAAATCTGCTTGCCTCAGGAACGATGCACGGCTGTGCTTGACACACCTCTCTGTACTGTGAAAGTTGGCACAGAATCTTCATCGAATGTCTTGCCCATTCTTCCGACAGAATCCCTTCCCAAATTCCAAATCCGACCTCTTGAAACATGGACACTTCCAAACTGTTGCTATGCTTGGTGGCTTCACCCCATCCATCCCAAACTTATCACTTTGGATCATCATCCCTGTGATTAGGCTGGGAAATTTCCATGGAAAATTAGAGGGATGATCCACGAAGATGATCCCCTCTCTGAGCAGCTCGGCCAGTTCCTGCCCCCCAGCTGCCAGGAAGGCTGCACCGATCTTAGCGGCGATGGACTCGTTTTGGACAGTGGACCGATGTGGACCGCGCTAGTAACAGATTTTGCCGTATATATATACATATATATATATACACGAGTATATAATAGTATATTATATAGTATATCTTATATAAGTGATTTTGGCCACTCTTTGGATTAGGACTCAACCATTCTTTGAAGACATTTAGGATAATCCAAGTTCGATCCGTACCCAGCTTGCTGTTTGCAATGGCGAGTTACAGTCTGCATCACCTAGCTATCCTGTCCTAAGTGTGAACAGGCTGTGGCCGCTGCCAACTCTGCAAGTCCGCGGGCCTGCGAGCTGTTTGTAGTCATCATAATTTCAAAGAGGGTTTGGTTTCGATAAAGTTGTTCCCCTGCCTGCCAATACAATGACAAACTGTTGCCGATGAGAAGCATCTTACTGGGCACTGGACCTTGCAATCTTCAGCTGTTGCTTTTTGAAAGGGCTGCTGTTTGGAATGTGGCGCTCAGTTTGGCACCCTCCACCACTTTGCCCCACTGGCCCTCCTGCCGGCCAAGTGGAAATGTATGGAAATGTATGGACATGTGAAATCTGGGATTTTGATTGATTTTGATCCGTTTGACAGAATCGAATCAGCATCGAACCAGCCTCCAACACATTCACATGCTGAGATTTCTCGGCCTCTGGGCCTCAGACTTGCAGCAACTATCACCAAAGAAAAGGACATCTGGCAAAAAAAACATACAAAATAATCTAAGATGATCTAAACTCATGATCAAGCACTGGATTTCGGGGCTACCCCACTTTCAAACAAACCCACATCATGGGAGACTTGGATAGGACGAACCACGCCTTTTTTTTAGGCTCCCAACAGATCCCATAGAAACTCTGGGAGCGGCTGGTCTCATGGCCACGCCTCATGGGCATGTGGGGATGGATCTAAACCAGCTGTTTTGGTATGAAAGCACAGCAGGGGATTCCAGGAGGTTTTGACTCATATCCACCTAGTGACCTGATAGATCTGATAGTGCAAACCGTCATTCCTAATTTGAAATGACCAAACTGACCAAACCATCATTTCCAATTCTGATAGTAGCGGCCATCTCTTTTAGTTCGGATTGACCATCATTCTACCATTACACCATCCAATCACCATCCATAACTACAACTTGACCCATCATTTCTAGTTGGGTTGGTTACTATAACACACCATCCATTTCTTTGAACATCAACCATTTTGAGCCATCCCCAACTTAGAGCAGAGGCTCTGATTGCGATCCAACGCCATCGCTATGAAATCGGGACCAGACTCCTGGCAGTAGGGAAGGGGCTGATGTTTGATGGGGTCGAAGTCCATGGACCCTAGGGGTTTTCCATGGTTTTCCACCCAAAAAAAGTTGGGATCCATGGATGTTCATCATGCTCATCCCCCGAAAATGCTCATGTATCACTGGATTGGGTTTTTTAAGGGAAAATCTGAACCGGAAACCCATGGGTTTTTACCATCAAATTGATCGGGCTTTCCGGTTAAAATTTTCCCATCATCCAATTCTATGAATGTCATGAAAATCGCTTATAACATGCGGTATACCCGCAACATCAAATTCAAAATCAGTGGATTTCGGTGGACACCCCAAAGTCCCTGATAAATCCAACGGTCAGCGTTCCAAGTTCTTGGGCAAAACAACGTTTAAGATCGTTTAAGTAGATGATATTTAAATCCGCTATAAATGATTTCTATTCAATGATGACAAACTGCTAAATATTCACGAATGGTGATTTAGTCTTTTTTTGGTATCATCTATATATAAATTATAATATATATATATAATACTTCATCATTGGCCCCCATTTTTATGGCTTAAAACCCCCTCATCGATGATGGTTAAATCCCCGAGGCGGAATCATCAATTCGGTGTCCCAGGTGTCCCAGGACTGGCCTCACCATCGCGACGGTCAGCATCACGCGTGTAGATGGCGCGCCAAATGTTCCTCAACTCGTCACTGCTGTCGGAGGTTTCCCACAATGACAGCCCCAAAAGTGCCCCAAATTAGACCAGTTTAGTATTGAAACATATTGACACCCATGATTTCGGAGTACCTCAAGTTTTAAGAAACCCACATTTCTGGAAGGTGTGTTTAAAATTGTTTGAAACCTGCCAACAGACTGTTGGTCAATTAGAGACACTTGGAAATCGCTATTCTTTGATCTTCTTTGACAAACCTGAGGTGCGCACTTGTAGTGATTGAAGAACTTTGCCTTTCAGGCTGCATCGATGCTACGCTATCTATACTCCTGCAAGTAAAGAAAATACGGAAGTCATCATCAGATAAAAATCATGTAGGATTTTGATTAAATATTTTGTCACTAGTCAATTAAGACACACTTTTCACCATCTTCAGGTTCTCCAGGTTTGTCTGATGCTGCAAATCGACTTTTTTTCTATACAATGGAAGTGGATCCCAAACAGCTGAAACAATGTGTTTGAATGACATTTGGTTGGTCAGGTGAGTCAGCTGTTCCCTGATTTCAACGGCTGCCGCGCCTCAGTCTTCTCAAGATTCCACCCGGCGATGACCTCCTCATGCCGAAAAGGCCATTTGTAGATGAGTTTCCCAGCAAGAAACCCGTGCATGGGGATTTCCGAAAGCCATGACAAAACTGCGATTTTTTTCATGATGTTTTCCATTACCAGGCTACATTTTCCCGGACGGAAAAAACCATGTTTGGTTTTTGTCTAAAAATAGGGTACTCGCAAATTTGATTTTCCTTTTCCGCAAGCTTCTCTACAATTTGATGGTCATAATTTAGGGGTACCCTCTGGTAAACTAACATAACTATGGAAAATCACAATTTTCAATGGGAAAACTCACTATAAATGGCCATTTTCAATAGCTATGTTAAATTACCAGAGGGGAACCCAATTTTTGGACCCAGGTGATACCAGAATCTCCTCCGGATTCTCTTTGGGCAGCACGTCGTGAAGCAACCAAACCTCCACTTGTGTGGTTGGGATTCTTTCTGCAATTTACAAGGGTTCATCGGTTCATCGGTTCATTGATGTTCCTTATGAAACTGGAAATTTTATGAAATTTTGGGGTATACCCTATTTTCAGACACAGGGGAATCTTGTGACACTTTCTCCGAATATCCCAGCTTCTTTGAAAATGTCTTGCTGACAGCAGCAAGTTGCCTTTACTGAACACTTCAACCACGTATTTGAGTTGAGCAATCATATCCAAAGAAAAGACAGGTAGATTTATTTATATGTGCCATGGTCAAAAGATGGTATACGGGGTATGCATTCCACAATAGGCAGTCATTACAATAGACACCCTCATCATTGGTATATATAATTTATAATATATACACATATAATTGCGGGTATATATAAATTATTTGTTCATGGATTGATGACCATCCCCCAAAACGGATGTATAATCCATCGACCATGGCACATGTGATCAGCATGTGATCAGCTTCAGCTGATTTCAGCTGCATCTTTGCCTTCACCGTGTTGAAAGCCAGGTGTACTTCCCTCGCTTCTGCGAGATCAGCTTCCATCGGTGCCTCGGCTCAGTGAGTTACAGGTCTGGTCCCCATGGGATTTGATTCTGTGGGCACTGCTCGCATGATCTGCTCAACGAACAGCAGCAGTAACTTCAAGGCTAAAGGTGGACCTGAAATGGCAGGCATGGCCAAGGCATGGTGTTTGTCAAATGGGTATGGATCAATGTCAATACCTATTAATATCATTTTTAGTGGGATGAACATCCATAAATCCCAGCTATTTTGATGTTCACCAGGGGTACAAGGTTTTGACCCATCCCCAAATTGCTGGCATAGCTGGCAATAAGATGCAGGAAGGATCCAGCATCATCCGTCTGGGTTTTGGACACTTCTGAATGACCTCGCGCATGACCTACAGGTCATGCAGCGTGTCATATGCAGACATCGTCTGACGGTCAGAACCAATTCAGAGCGGACACAGTTCTCATCGCTTCTCATTCAGAGCGTAAAGAGAGACAACGTCTACGAATCTACGAGCCACACATCTTGGACACGGAATACCATGTTTTCAGTGTGCAAATCTGGATCTGATATCAACCTCAAGGCTGCTTGGACAGGCTCACCATGGCTCACCAGATATCGAAATACTATCTGTCTCAGGAACCAACTTGCCGATCCCGCACTGCTTTTGTGACTTCATCCTGTGGAGTCGCGACTTCCGCAAGCAGAATCTCCATAGGTCTGAAACTTTAGGGCTGAAAACCACAGATTTGATGGATTTATCATGACTAAAATCATCTAAAATCATCGTCCACATCAAAATTGTCATCATTTATCCCCCATTTTTGGACAAAATCTCATCTCCATCTCTGATGAACCGTCCTGGAGCCTTTCCGCTCGATGGTCATCAGCAAACTCTGAGCCTGGAAAACAGGCTCGAGAGATTCTTCGAATGCTTCTGTCCATCATATATGGCAATGATTTGCATGGGATACTTGCCTGAGTTTGGGTATACAATAATACAATATATCAATCATTTTGATGGATGCTTGGGGACAGTGCACTATTTTCGGCCCATCAATCCCTTGGTTGTGTATGCAGCAATCGGCCAGATTTACCCATGCACTGCACCAACAACATAGCCGGCTTAGCACAGAAAATCAAGCAGTAACCACCTTCACACTTCGAGGCCAGCAAATGTTATACCATGACGCACATACACACACACACATGCACACCATGAATTCCATCATTCCTTCAAAACATGGACATGTCCAACAAATGGAAACTCTCCTGGACACCCAAACTCAAGGACCTGCAACAAATGGTCTACCTTTTTTGAAACCGGTCACCAGTCGGAGTCCTCTTGGGACCCGCATGGACCTGCTCGGCCGAAGAGGCGATAGCCATGGCAGCTCCGTCGCAGTGACATCAAATCTGGAAAGGTCAGCCTGGAAATGCCGCGGGACGTTTGGCCATGGGAATCCCCTAGAAATTGAGGTCTTAATGGAAGACGTTGAAGTAAAATGAACTAAATAGGCTACAGTATTTTCCATTGTTTGATCACCACGGGGGAAGTGCAATAAACATCAGCGAGTTATGGCTAATTTAATAAGACGTTGTTTTCGGTTGGTTTATGATCACTTTCACAACTAACATGTACTAACATGGCAATCTCTTTTCGGATATAATCACTACCACTATATAGACTACTACTACTACTACTACTACTACTATTGCTACTACTCCTGCTACTACTACTGCTACTACTACTGCTACTACTACTACTACTACTACTACTACTACTACTACTACTACTTACTACTACTTACTACTACTTACTACTACTACTTACTACTACTTACTACTACTACTTACTACTACTACTACTACTACTACTACTACTACTACTACTACTACTACTACTACTACTACTACTACTACTACTACTACTACTACTACTACTACTACTACTACTTACTACTACTGACTACTACTGACTTACTACTACTTACTACTACTTACTACTACTTACTACTACTTACTACTACTTACTACTACTTACTACTACTTACTACTACTTACTACTACTTACTACTACTTACTACTACTACTACTACTACTACTATATAATTATATACATATAGTATTAATATATACATGTTTAGATATTTCAGGACAAACTCCAAACGCATAGAAATTGATATTCACGGCCCAAAAGTCACACCTGGCATCCAGCAGGCCATCGACAAGCTGCTGGAGGTCTTCTTGACCTTCCGACCTAAGCTAAGGTCAGTATTTGATATATCCAAAGTGAATGTTTGATTAATTTTTGGTATATCCAAAACAAATATATATAGCCGAACTTATTTGATGAAGTTTTTGGAGAACTTTCCCCAAAAAAAACATTGTGACTGTTGCAACGTGTTTTCCAAAAGTTCCGATCAAGCATTTGGATGCATTTAGATCATTTAGCAGACCTATTTTCCGACGTCGGAAGATGTAACGCACATCTTCCACTGACATACACTGACCACATTGCCAGAAAAAACACCACAGAAGCACCACAAACGCCTCTGAAGTGACGGCTTCTTGCTGTGTTTGCAGCACCATTCTGGTTGAGATTCCGACGTCGATATGTCCAGCTGCTGCACAGGGTATCCTCATTGGGACCCCCATTCCATCCTATGCGCTATCTTAATGTTTCCTCATTCAAAAGCCACAAAATGGGGCATTCCGCATTTTGAAGCAAACCCGTCTGGGGAAGGGCGAAGATTTAGCTTAGCTGACGTGACAAACAATACTATCAATAGCACTAGTGGCATGGAACTTGGAGTTGGCTGGATGATTGACATGGCAACAGACTCAACATTTGCCTCCGTGGATCAAGCACAGTCTTATTTTGCAGACGCAGTTATCTTTCTATAGCAAGGTCCTTGTATGTTTTCTTCTGCAAGGCACATTCATCGTCCCAGGACATCTTGTGGAGTGCGATAGGTTCACACCCATCATGTGAGCAAGACAACCCAAGATGTTACATTTCAATACATTTCACTTGATAGCAACTGTCCAAAACTTTCCATCTTACTTCTTTCAGGAGCCAGCCTGGTCTGATGCTACTTGCACCACTTGTACAGTCCTGAAGCCACTTGGCTCGTCTTCCAATCTGGCGAAAACACTCTCGGCTCGGCTATGCAGCTGGATGAGGACAGCATTCACTGCCACTATATCCACTCATCTGCCTTTTTCTGATATTATGCTTAAGGTTATCCAACAAAAATATGACACATATTTACCTAAAGGTTCCTCAAATAGTGGATTTACGAAAGCAAATAACAAATCACCGGCTCCGCAAATCTAAATTTTCATCATTAAAAATATAAGCTTCGGGTGTATCTCCAACAGCCGCAACGTTTTATTTTTACATGTGTGCAGTGTGCTCATGCATGAAAACAAAAAGAAGAAAAACAAACTTCTCCGGAATCTTCTCTGCAACCTTCTGCGGAACCCGTTGAACCTGACCTGGCCCTGCACCAAAGATTCCCAAAACCTTCTCCGGAACCCGGTTGAACCTGACCTGGCTCTGCACCAAAGCCTCCCCGACCTTCTCCGGAACCTTCGGAACCTTCTCCGCTTACGCTGTTGGGGAATAAAATACCAAGCGACATCTTGTAGTCTACACATCTTAGGTCTGCCCCAGGTGACCACACCTGCTGCGGCCAGCGGAAGCACAAGCCACACCTGGACCTGGCTTAAATTTAAATGCTGGGATATGCTGGGATGTCAAGGATGTCAATGGAGATGTCAACGGAGATTATAGTCACGTTTAAGACGTCTTCGGGTTTATCTGAAAATCGGGTACCCGCAAAATTTCCTGGTCCATCATCAATATGCAATGACAGATCTTCCCAATCAAGATGACTATTTAGGATACATAAAAATTTAAGATGTTCAGTGTTGACCCATACCCAATTTTTGTGGCTTCAGCTCTTTTTCAACCTTCCACTAGACAATTTAAGACAACACGTCATCCATTATGAGTCCTTTTAGACACAGTGACACAGTGCTTACCCTCAAATCCAACATGTCAACATGGCGAATCATGGCGCACAGCATGACTGCAGAAAAAAATCCTCCCTGACCTGCATCATCCCACATTGCTGCTCCAGCCATGGCAAGATTGAGCTGTCGAAGCTTAACTTGAGTCCTCCACAACAGAATACTTAAGCTTAACAAAAAAGAGTAATTACCAGTACTTCACAAATCTTGTGACAATTTCGAGCCCCAAGGTCGTTGAGCCATCGTAATTTGGAGAGTCCTCCTGCTCTGTGCTGGATACCTCTGAGCTCGATGCTCAGAGGGAATCATACCCATTCCTGATGACTTTGCCAGTTGCTGCAAAAAAAACAGATCAGATTATCTTCACTGATCTTCACTAAGCCACAGTACACTACTTCCCTGGGAAGCCAACTTAAGACATTCCTTGCTTGTTTCGAGGCTGCAAATGGGCAACGGAGGGAATGGAACAAGATTTACATCCGTCAAATCATGTGGAAAACATAGGAAACTGATGATGAACCAATGAACCAATGGACTTTGTCGGTCTCTGGCCTATTTCAATATTTTGTAGATCAAACCAATCACCACCTCGCTTGACCAAAGGGAAAATTCAATGGGAAGGAGACCCTCCGTCCTGGCTAGGCACGGTGGATCAACCGAGGCTTGTCAACGGAGTCTTCTTGTTGCACATAGTTACGGGTCACCCATGGAACCCCCTGGTTTTCACACCGCTGGGACAAATGTGGACTTCATCCCAGATTGGTCCAGTTTTGATCCCCACGTTTTCCCCGCTGACCCCGCCTGGTCAGGATGCCTGAAAAGAGAAGAGCGGAGCTGGTTGGTTACTTGATAGGGACCATAGGGATTCCCGTAATGGATTACGTAATTGAATATTGATAACATTTGATAACCCTAAACTGTTACACTACTACAATCTCCGGTCCATAATAGGGATTCCCACTGCTCACATGGATAATCCTCCATAATTGTATGATAGGTAGTAACCCCCTAAAAATAATCATCAACCAACAGGCTGAGCTTGCAACGGAATTGGTGGAGGAGGTGCAGAGGCCTGACTCATAGCTAAGCAGCTATGGTATAGATGGCCCATACCCATAGGATCCATGTATGCTATATATGGTAACATTTACCATCAATATACCTCAAAATGTTAGCATATATACTGTACCATACATGGATCCTATGGGATAGAAATAGATGGTAAAACTGATGATTGCTAACGGATGATTTTCCGACTAAACATGGTGATTTCCGAAATTTCCCATAGCAAACAGCTGGAAATTACCACCAACGCAGCCGGAAACCCGATGGCTGCCATGGCCTTTTTGGTCGAACCCGGAACAACTCCCGGAACGACAGCTGTTGGCCTTGGTGCCGCATGCTTCATCTCCAGATTGTGATCACATCACCAGATATCACCAGTTAAGTCTTGTTTCAAATCCATATGGCTATGGGTCAAAAGCTTGTACCCCTGGTGAACCTCAAAATAGCTTGTAAATAGATGTTCATCCCACTAAAATTGATAGTCATAGGTTTTGACCCACCCCCATATTCCAAGAGAGTTTCCTGAGGTCCTCAAATAATCTCAATAACATGGGTCATTTTTCATGTCCCCATTGAACATCACCCAACCATTAGGTATATGGTCTACTAGATGGCTACTACAAGGTGATGTCCAATATACCCAAAATGGGACAGTTACCAACCCCTCAAAAATCTCAATAGTTCCAAACAGATTCAGGTCCAAACGGTGGCGCAGGTGGTGCCATTGCCGCCTACAGGGCAGGGCTTCAGCATGCTTCAACCATAGGGGGTAGCATAAAAAAACTTAGCCCCTGCTGCCTTTGTTTCAGCAAGATCCTTCGTCCAAGAAAAATGAGTTTCAAACTTCTGAAGACATGGGTTTTCTCTGAAATTCCGGGTACACCCCTAAATGGCAATTTTGATAGTGAACATGTGACAAAATGATGATAAATCGTGATAAACCATCAAATTTGTTTTTCCCAAAAAAGAATCCGACGAACCCAGATTCTGCAGCCGAAGCAAGGATATTGCTCTGACTTTACTTCATGCTCTCGCACCTGCATCCCAGACATTGGCCTGCAGCTTGCAACTCTGAGAACGGCTTCGGTTTGGGATGCCGTGAAGTGCCGGTTCAACGACTACGTAGCGATTCTTCATCTCATCGGTTCAATGTTGGAACAAAGGGGCGACTCTGCATCAAGATTGATTCTACCGACGGACCCTGGGGCAATGGGTCATTTCATGTCATGGTATATTTCTTTTAGTCAGACACATGTTAATAAATCAATATGGGAATGGGTCAAAACCATGTAGCCCTGGTGAACATCA